GTGCATTAAAAATACGGTGGTTTGGGGGCCATTCCCCACATAAACCACCCCTCGGTCGTGTGAATTCGGTCGTTATACTTCACCCAGGAAATTCTACTGGGCCGCCGGCTTGCCACGTCTTTCACCGGTGGCAGAGTCTCTCCACTCAGCGTGGCGATCTCGGTCCCCAGCGCGTCTGGCGGGATCAACATGCCAAACCAAAACAGACAGGATTCTAGGGGTACCTTCCATTTCCATTCTTTCCAGGGAGCCGTCTTTTCAGGAAACCATCAAAAACCCGGGATGGAAACAGCCGGTTTTTGAAAAGAACGATGATTGAAAAGAATGGGGAATCAACCCCTTGAAGGATGAGGATGGTTGCAGCCATGGGTGTGATATTGGCAAAATAGATGGCCCTGGTAAATGGAATGAAACCCATCTAAACCAGCGCTGGGACTTCCATAATGTTTACCAGGATTAATAAACCCGTCCCAGTATTAGGAAGTTTTCCCTCCAAAAGTGGTCTGAATCCCCACTCAAAGGGGACACCCCCTATTAATCAACCAGGGGTTTATTAATCCGGGGTGAACATTATTCAACAGCTTTGCACCCAGAAGGGGGACAATTCCCCCAGCCGAACGCCGAAGTGTGCCGACTTGTGTCTCCTCGAACTCCCAGAATCTTTTGGGGGGGGCTAGAATAAAGGGGGGCCATTTTTTTTTCGACGCGAAACCAACAGGTGGGTATGTAGTCCAGAAAAAGGGTTCCCGGCTTAACATCTTACTGCTCGAGCAAAGACGTGTTGTCTACATCCGAGATGAATTTGCAAGCGCAGTAATTAATCAGAAGTGTCCTGCAGCACATTGACATGATGCCGTGTCAGGCAAACATAAGCAACCAGAAAAGCCTTGACCACATATGGCAAAGGACGCGCTTCGTTGAACTTTGATAGAATTCCGCGTAACAAACATGAGCAAACATAAACAACATCCAAGTGAGAAAAGCTTCAAACTCATCCCTCTGTGAATTATAGACATCCGCTCGCGTTTACCGTTTGATGGGTTTTGGGCTGGCTCGTACAGGTGGGGTTTGTACAGGCCCCCTCCCCGGAGGCGAAGACTTAACAAAGGGGTCAGGAGACACATGATTTCCCCTTCAAAAGTTGCACTCACCTGCTGAGTGGATGGCCCAACAAAAAGTCCAAACTTTACATTTACCACTAAAACGGTCTTCCCAAAAAGTTTAAAGTTCATGAACTCAGGAAGTGAGAATGTATTTGTGGCAACCGCTACAACTGCATCTTTGGTTCCAATGATTCCAAAAAGAGACATGGCTCGGAAACCCTGCCCTTTGCAACCGCTGAAACGGAAAACATCCGCACTCAACAGCCCCCAAACCTGCGAGGTCAAAGAAGCTGGTATCGTTGCCTCGGTCCGGGCCCCGCGGGGTTTTCGCAAAGCCGGCCTTCTTGCGCTCGTTGTCGCTCGAGTGGATTGCCTACCAACTTGTTATTTACCAAACGTGTCAAGTGTCCAGGAACTCAGGGAGTGAGTTCTTGCTAGGCTAAGTCGCTCAAACATGGAGAACATCAGCGTATTCAAGACATCCCAAAACCGAATTAAGGGATCCTCAAGTACAGTACCTCTTTGTTCACCCGGATCGGCGAGCTCGCCATAGGCAGAACAATTGGCGGATTCCCGCGAAAAACAGAGCCAAAAAGAAGCCAACCATTGAGAAATGAAAGGAATCCTTCAGTGAACGTCCATAATCATGATTGAACAATTTGGCATTGTTGAACTGCACGCTTCGTATTGAGTGGTTTCTCCATGCTCGATTGGTTGCTCCCCCAAAGGAACTTCTAGCAAGCAAAACTCACCCAAATGCCTGCACCCTTTCTCCCACTACCTGCTTAACAAGTAACTCTTGCTTAGGCATACCCTAAGAAAAGCGGGTATGTGGAGGGGGTGTAAAGCAGCGAAGGCTTGTTTCGGTTGCTCGAACTTGCCATGTAGGTGTCAAAGTGGGGGGACCTCAAACATGTCGGCTTTCATTGTTGGTTTCTTTTGAACCAGGGTACACGTACCCTCAGAAAACACAGCCTGATGTAAGAACTGAGGACTGCCGGCTTGGCCTGAAACCTTCCTCTTCCCAGCACAACGAGCCGAACCCGTTTGCTTCCTCGCAAGCACGCGACGTCCATCCGACGACGCCACAATTGAAGCGTGATAACGTCAACGTTTTGCCCCCCCAAAACCGAAGGCTTTCTTCTGAAGGCTCAGCCTTCCGGGGAAAATGACTGACCCCTGTCTTGGAATAAATTCATCACCATGAGAATGCAGACTTGAGCCTGCCCCTAGGAAACTGGAACTTGTGCTGGGTTGAACTTCCCGCAGGCAGAAGGACAATTGTTCACCGATCGCGTCGGCTAGGTGAGCGGCAAAGCATGACCATCTCGTGGGGCTGCCATGTCTCAATACTTCTGCCATTCACCTCAGCTTGGCTATCTGCTCGCATGACACATTCGCAACTCATCTCCGACAACTAGGGCCTCTTGTGGTTAGATAAAGTGACAATTGTGGTGCTTCCCCAAGACCTCCATCTATCCTCGCCAAAAACATAAAACTCTTTGAATGGTTTCAGGCACCGCTCAAGTTGTGATTTGATCAGCGCCGGCTATACTACAGAATGATACGTCAAACATGTTACCTTTCAGTGATGACATTTGGTGAGCGCTTCAGCCTTCTCATTTATGTTAACAACCAAACACACAATGTATATTTCCACATGAATATAAAATAACAAAGACCAACTTTTGTTCTTGGACAGACTGCAATGCTATATCAACGAGGGTTGTGGGCTTACAACTATTGTCCAGGATTGCACCCCTTGCCTCGGAAACGCAATCCAGTCTGACGGGTTGATTGCGGGAAGTTGCCGAAAGGGATTTTTATTAAACAAAATCACCTGCTAGCCACACACGAAAGCGTGTGGTTGCCGCAATCTGCAACGAAGCGTCAGAAAGTTGCCAGTAGTCGATCAATAACGCGCGCAGCCGCTCGTGTAAGCACAACAACACGATTCCAAAACCAAGCAAAAGGAAGTCAGACCCTTCTTCTTCCTTACCCAGGATTTTCCCAGGATTACACTCTTGTAGAAAACCGACAAGGTTACACCCAGCCGCGAGAGTCAGCGCATGATTGTCTACACATTCAGGAAACCGGGTGGGGGATCAAAAAAAAACTTTTTAGGCATCAAAAAAAAACTTATTTCAAAAGATCAAAAACAAACTTATTAGGCATCAAAAAAAAACTTATGCTCATTGACTTACTATTAAAAATGAAAAATCAGAGGATCAAAAAAGAACTTTATAGGCATCAAAAAAAACTTATTCATTTCAGGAAGCACTTTCGCAAGGTCAGGTACAGATTTCGTGGCACGCGCGGCACTTTCGCAAGGTAGGCGCAATGCTTTCGCAGGTCAGGTGCAGACTTCGCGGCAGGCGCAGCGCTTTCGCAAGGCGCGGTGGAGATTTTGCGGCAGGCGCAGCACTTTTGCAAGGTCAGGTACAGATTTCGTGGCAGGCGCAATACTTTCGGAAGGTCAGCCAGATTTCGCAGCAGGCGCAGCACTTTTGCAAGGTCAGGGACAGATTCGCGGCAGATGCAGGACTTTCGCAAGGTGCGGTCCACATTTCGCGGCAGGCGCAGCACTTTCGCAAGAGGTGCCAATTTCGCAGCAGGCGCAGCACTTTCGCAAGGTACGGTGCAGAGTTTGACGCAGGCGCAGCATTAAATCAGCGGGGGGGTTGGGGGGGGCGGCAGCCCCGCAGGGGCAGCACTTTTGCAAGAGGTACCAATTTCGCGGCAGGCGCAGCACTTTCGCAATACGGTGCAGAGTTTGACGCAGGCGCAGCATTAAATCAGCGGGGGGGTTGGGGGGGGCGGCAGCCCCCCCCCATGATGTTCGAAGAAGTGATGATTCAACAAAGGGTGGTGGTCGAAGAAGTGATGATTCAGCAAAGGGTGCGCGGCAGCCCCCCCCATGATGCTCGAAGAAGTGATGATTCAGCAAAGGGTGCGTTAATCACTGTAACCTTCTACAAATCAGCGGGGTGGGTGAGGAAGGTCAGGTACAGATTTCGCAGCAGGCGCAGCACTTTAGCAAGGTCAGGTACAGATTCGGCGGTCCGCAGGCGCAGCACTTTCGCAAGAGGTACCAATTTCGTGGCAGGCGCAGCACTTTCGCAATACGGTGCAGAGTTTGACGCAGGCGCAGCATTAAATCAGCGGGGGGGTTGGGGGGGGCGGCAGCCCCCCCCATGATGTTCGAGGAAGTGAAGATTCAACAAGGGGTGCGCTAAGCTCTGTAAGCATTCTACAAATCAGCAGGGGGGTTGGGGGGGGCGGCAGCCCCCCCCATGATGCTCGAAGAAGTGATGATTCAACAAAGGGTGGTGATGATCGAAGAAGTGATGATTCGCACCCTTTGCTGTAATCTCTGCAAACATTCTGAAAATCAGCGGGGGGGTTGGGGGGGGCGGCAGCCCCCTCCCATGATGACCATGATGCTCGAAGAAGTGATGATTCAGCAAAGGGTGCGTTAATCACTGTCAACCTTCTACAAATCAGCGGGGTGGGTGAGGAAGGTCAGGTACAGATTCAGATTTCTCAGCAGGCGCAGCACTTTAGCAAGGTCAGGTACAGATTCGCGGCAGGTGCAATACTTTCGCAAGGTGCGGTCCAGATTTCGCGGCAGGCGCAGCACTTTCGCAAGAGGTACCAATTTCGCGGCAGGCGCAGCACTTTCGCAAGGTACGGTGCAGAGTTTGACGCAGGCGCAGCATTAAATGAGCGGGGGGGTTGGGGGGGGCGGCAGCCCCCCCCATGATGTTCGAGGAAGTGAAGATTCAACAAGGGCTGCGCTAAGCTCTGTAAGCATTCTACAAATCAGCAGGGGGGTTGGGGGGCGGCAGCCCCCTCCATGATGTTCGAAGAAGTGATGATTCAACAAAGGGTGGTGATGATCGAAGAAGTGATGATTCAGCGAAGGGTGCGATAATGTCTGCAAACATTCTGAAAATCAGCGGGGGGCTTGGCGGGGGCGGCAGCTCCTTCCTTCCTTCCTTCCTTCCTTCCTTCCTTCCTTCCTTCCTTCCTTCCTTCCTTCCTTCCTTCCTTCCTTCCTTCCTTCCCCTTCCTTCCTTCCTTCCTTCCTTCTCCCCATAGGAATGAGCATAAGTTTTTTTTGATGCCTAATAAGTTTTTTTTGATGCCTAATAAGTTTTTTTTTGATGCCTAATAAGTTTTTTGTTGATGCCTAATAAGTTTTTTTTTGATGCCTATCCCCAGGAAACCGGGGGTCAGCGCAAGTGCTCACAACATTGAATGGGACACAGCATGTCAAAATGTCCGTGCTTAAGAACTAGATTCGACGCGCCACGTGTAAATCCCAATTTCACGCAGTAGGATGTGCACCTGGAAAAAGCAGAGTGGGAGCACCGGAAGCAGCAAATCCCAATGGGACGCCGCGAGGCATGTATATTTTCCAACAGTATGGGACGGAATGAGACACAACACGTCAAGATGTCATGTGTTCAATTTTGAGCGTAGAACTCCTAAACGCAAAACCCCATGAATTGGACGCGCTAGAGTAGACAATCTAAGTAGTAAAAGCATCATATATAATATAGGAGCATCAAGACCGTAATGAGACACACTACAAAGTAGCGGCTGTGAAGCTGAAACGAGGGAGACATTGGCGATGGACGTAGCTTTGTCGAGCTTAAGTATCGTGCCACCCTTTTCACATGGAACCTGATGTTTCGGGGGTCCTGGTGTGGGCAATGGTGAAAAAAGGACGGTGGATGAAGACGCTCAAGATGCTCCGTTCCCGCCCACTAGCTCAGAAGCTGAGGCAGCTTCAATCAGCCCGAAGATTGTCTGATTCAGCACAGCTTTCCCCAAGCAGAGGCAGAGAAGGAAGGCTTCTCACCCAAAGCTTTTGCTCGAGGCAACATTTTTGTCACAAAAGAACACCTAGAGAGAATCTTGTGCGCGTCTTGTGAAGGAGATTGGCATAGACCAAAGGAGCCGTCACCTGGCACGGGTGAATAGAGAACGCCTGACAAGGCTGCCTAGTGCTATTTCCTGAATGTGCGTCCCAAAGAGTGCTGCGATAAAGCTTGTGCTTGGCGCTTTTGTTCAGCTGCGGCTGCGCATCTGGGATACTCCCTCACCAATTAAATAACATGGAGCCTGACGTTTCCCTTCAAAAGGAAAGTATTATCTGACGCAACTCCTTCGTGAGATCACCCACCTGGCTCAGGAGCGCCTTTTTCGCAGAGGTGAGCGGACAATTTGGCAGAGCGTCCGTTGTCTCCGGGCTTTTCTGCCACCCCTTCTGCTCCCATGCCAAAACCTCAGCAAAAGCTGCAACTCTCGGCAAGCAAAATCCTAAGTCTCGGTAAGCTTGCCGAAAGCTCTCTGAAAGCTGGGCGGGGCTCAGGGGGGAATAGTTCTCAGGAAGCTGGCTCGCTTCAAAATGGTGTGGCAACAATCGGTGCGCTCGCTTGAAACCTCGCGCATAGATATTGACTCCAACACTTGACCACACCTCCTATGGAAAAACAGCAAGCTCATTGAGGCAACTTGCTGCGTACACCATGTTGGCCCAATTGCCAACGGCACGCCACGTTACACGGAAAACGCACAGCAGGCGCAAAGTGCAACCACTTCTACAGTTGGGTGTAGATGGGTGCACTACAACACGCTCAAAGCCAGCACCTCTCCAAGAACACCGCCTCCAGTCCGCCTGCAAAGTTTGCTCAATCCGAACGGTACGGCAAGCCTGCTCACCCAAAACCTTGCCTGCGTGGGATTCGAGCTTAGCGGTGACCATACTATGCCAACCTCCACCAGGACGCGAGCCGCACTGACTTCCTCAATTAGAACCCTGCATGGCACACGAAGTTGGATGCCGACACACCGACTTATGCAGGAGAAAGTAATTGCCACCAAACCTCGGTTTTGGAGTAGTCCCAAAATCGATACCTATCTGCAAAACCAATCGGACCGCCCAAACCCGGTATCCTGGCAATATTGCACTTTGCGCATGCGAGCCCAAACTGCTCGCTTCCCTCCAGAGGCACGGGACATTTTGCGCGTCCCCTTGATTTTGTTGTGATCGTTTTTGGAGTCCCCCAATCTCCTCCCACGATCACCGGACATTCGGGGCCCCGAGCCCTTCGAAGAACCCTTCCGTTCTAAGAACATGTCCTCGACAGGCCTTTAGCTCTGGGTCGCTGGATGTCTTCACATGTTGCAAACTACTGATGTCCATTGGAACTCCCAGGTTTTTTTTGACCGAAGCTGTGCCAATCTCTGTCTGGGCACCGTCTTGAAGCACGCGCTGAAGGCATCGAAAAGCTCCTGCCGGATTTCGCCAGCGTGAGTCGATCTTTCAATCCACTTGAGATGAACACGGATTCCGGTCAGTTTCCCATTGCACACTATGGATGGACACGATCCATCGCAGCAGTTGGGATATGCACGAAACCCAGCAATGCTGGGACAAACCTATCAACCGGTGAATGATTTGTCCATTCAAGATATTGCCCTATCAAATGAACAGTCCATCAAATATGTCCAGCAAGCTAAAGTCAAAAGCACAGATAAAGCGACCCTTGGTTTAGGGACTAACACGTCAACAATGCAGTTCCTTTCTTTTCCCGTGGTCGGAAGTCAAGCCCTGAACCCGACGGCTCAGACATCTTCTTCTGCCGCTTTAGAGGCATTTGCTTGCCCCGGAAGGTCAAACAGAAGCCCTTGAAAAACCCTAAATGTTGATGGAGGATTCAGAGCCATGTCCCATGTTCAAACCCAAATAAGACCAATAGATCAGCACGTGGATAGGAGTCGTCTATAAAAATGTCTTCTTCAAAGGCCACTGAAAGGCCCCGGTAATCATGATGATCCCCAACTGAAAATCATGAATTTGTTTCTTCAAACAAATTTTCATGGGCCCCAGACTTGGTCAATGCAAGACCAAATTTTGGTCAGACTGACTGTGTTTGGAGTTGGCCAAATCCTCTTGCCAGGGAAGAATCAGGGCGAAGTAAATGGCAATGCATTAATTTGGATGAATGGCAATACTACAAGAAACCGACGACACCTGGCTGTCGGTCAAAAAAATGGTACCGGAATGGCAACTTGGCAAATGGACTCAACGACCAAAGCCACACCCACCTCTCAATATGCAGACCCAACAGGGGGCGAGCCTCAGCCGCTTCCCGACACTCCGCGGAACCGATCGGAAAATGGCTGACGTCGGCTGCGGATACCACTCGGAGCGATCGGGGACTGCAAAAGGCCTGTAGCAATTTTGCCGCTTCGCAAATCAAAGACCCGTCCTTTCATAATTGATCACAGCGGAACTGCTGATCAATCTGAGGATTTGCTTGGCTGATTGGCCCCGGCACAACAAATGCTGAGACCAAGCGAGGCACATAAGCACCAATCAAAAGAAGCACAAATTGGCAGTCGCAAGAAATTCCAGCATTCCCCATACCGGGACTTGAGCAGTGGCCAAGCCATCTGCTGAAAGTAAGCATGATCAACTCAAAGAAAACCGCGGCCTGGTGCCGGAGCCAAGTGCAGAGATTCTCGGCTCAAGGTGTGGCTTTGCTCCGGCTGAAAGCTTTGGGGTCGATAGGCCATGCGCGCAGTGGTTCGCGGCTCCGGTCTTTCCGGTTTTGCCTGGGACGTCAAAACCGGGATTTGTCGGTTGGCGGTTAAATGAAAACGGAAAGGAAACCGAATCCCTTCGGATTGGGGGTCCAACCTTGGAACTGGAGTCTCAACATAGGATTTGGTACCCCCGAAACCATGGGCGTCCTTTTGGTTTCCCAAGAAGGTCACATCAGCCAAAGAATGGGGGGGAGCACCTCTCGAAAATGGGGAACACCAACAAAAATGGGGCACCTCTGGGGAAGAAAAAAAACCCGACCCCCTCCGGTCCCAAGCTCCCTCGACCCTTCGGCCTGCTGCGCGGCTTCGAGCTTCTTATGGCCCTCGATGGCCAAGACCGCCATGGCCTTGAGTCCAAACGGGTCTCATGACTAAAACGGGAACAGAAGAATGTTGACCCCATGATCATCAACCAGTTGATCCCGTTTTAGTTGATACCTAGATCATCAAGCAGTTGATCAAGCACGGGAGCGGGATCATCACCTAACCAGTTTTTGTTGTTACCTAGATCGCCAGCAAGGCCAAACTATTTTGCAGCTTTGACAAAACCATGGGCTACTAGTGGGTACAGTGGCTGGAAAACAGTGGCTACTTGTTGTTCCAGGCAGTTTTGGCTATTAGGGGTGTTCCCCTCAAGTGATGATTTACCCTCGCACCAATTAAGCTGGTGGGGCTCTGGCTTGTGTGCGCGCCACGAGTGTCATGGATGTTTTTGGATTTTGGACATGGAACAACATCCTAAGGGAAGCATCATGCTGACCACATCTTCATCAACCAACCGGTTTATTCATAGGAGGGTTGGGCCCTCTCCAGAAATGGTCTGATTCCCCACTTTTCACCCAGAATCGAGGACACCCCCCTATGAATAAACTGGAGTTGACTAACCTGGGCGGTCCTCAGATCCCCCGCTAAAAGTTTAACTTATAATTAGTGGGTTGAATGCAAATCCAACCACTAAGCGCTAAAAAGCTAAGAAGCTAAGGAACCGGATGGCTGAAAGCCACCAAGTCATATGGGGTCAACATTACAAGATGTGTCTTGGTGAACATCAGACCTGCAAAAAGGTGGGCTTTTCTTTTTGAATTTGATTCCAAACCCAACCCAGGGGTTGCCCCCCATACACATCCATTTAGATAGAGGTACCCGGGGGCGTAAAACATACGTACAACACAGAGGTACACGACTCTGATTGACCCAGCTGTGGTGGTAACTATTTGTCAGTATACGTCACCAAGGGAACCGCCCGTTAAACGCTAATAGGACACTAATAGGACAGTGGCGAAGGGTTGCCTGCTATAAACTGGGATCCACTGGGCAAGGATGTACATTGTAATTTGGGACCCTTTGGTGAACATCACATTCAGGTGGACATTGATGTTCGCCAACCTTTCTTCAGGGGGCTCCCCATTAAAATTCATAGCCATATAGTTCTGAAAAATTGGGACCCCTGCAGGTCGGCTGGTTTGAACCCTATTTTCAGAAGCTCCCATGTCTGAGCAAATTACTCAAGTCGGAATTCTCCTGAAAAGGGCTAAGTGAGCTCAGTTTACACCCAGAGCTCGCTTGTCCACAAGATATTTGGGTGCATATCACTTTTGAGGCAATTACCCTGCTTGGAGTGGACTTCAATAAAAATACAAGTTTTGCAACGCCACTTTTAGTATTCTTATCTTACCATCCCGGGAGAAAGTATTCCGCCTGCAAATAGCAGACCCAGCAACTTGCTTGTTTGTCTGCAGCGGACATGGGTTTGTCTTAAATTAGGGGAACCCTCAAAAATGGCAAGGGGTTCCTTCTGGTTTCCCATTTAAAACCGCTCCATTCTGGAAACCCCAACCAAATAGAGACGAGCCACCATGAACGGCTTCCAGGGTCCCAGTTATGTTCCTACAAGGTCTTTCAGAAGCGCTGAAGCCTTCCTTTGATTTATGTAGGACTTGTTGTATATGCAAATGGCAAATAATTGGATCTTCGTGATCTAGCCCTTGTAGATCGGACTCCTGCAAGGAGTTTTTGGCGCTTCCGGAGGACTTGTTCAAGATGGGTACGTGGCAAAAGATGGGATGTGGTATGAACCACCAGCCGACTCCCTGATAGAACCCACGAGGTTGTTTGAACAAGGTCCAAACCAACCTTCAGCTTACTTAATTCCAGATGCGGACCTTGTTTCTCGGGATACAAAAAATGGGTACACTGAAAATCTGCTCTCGAAATGTTGCTTCATATCTGTTCTACCCCAAGATACCCTCCCACCATTGACATGGAACCGGGTCCTGGTTTGGACCATCTTCCTTTTAAAGGGAGAGGGTCCCTCACAGGTTCCATGCCAATTCGTGAGGGAACTTGGAGTCCCAGGTTGGAGGCCATGCCACACTGACGTTTCAAACAGGTCCGCCTTGGGCACCCATTTCTTGAAAAAATATTCTCGGCAAGGACCCCTTTTACTTCACAAGAGGATTGTCTCCGAAGATCCTTTTGTGGAGGTAGACCGGTTGTGGGTACTTAAAAACCGCCCCCAAAACTACTAGACATGACTTACAGGGGTCATCCCCCTCCTGCAATTCCATTCAGAGGGTGGGGATGTTTCTTGCACAATCGATAAGTGATCCAACTTTAGGACACACCAATTTACCTGGGTGGCTAACTATAGGCCCAATAAACCAGTATTGACATCACAATTGGCTCCTTACCTGCCCCTCCTGACTTCACATGACCGTGCGGAGCATAGGCTCCGTCCTCCAGACATAGCGAGCCCAAGTCTACTTCAGATGTTACCTCCACCCAAAATGACATGCTTGATTCCGCACCATATTTAGTGACCTTTACTCCTCCATAGGTGCAAAAGAGACCCTACAAGTAAGGTCTGGAAATGAAACTAGGTTTTGCAGTAGAGAGGTTAGAATAAGGGTACCCGTGTTTTCTGTAGTCTATTTTTGTGGGGGAACCCTCTCCCAAAACAGGGTCAAAGGGCACTACTGGGGGACCTAGGAAAGCATCTACTTAGCATTCCGGAGCGCTACCACGTAAAGTCCGCGATGCGACACTCCCAAGCCCTGCCTCTAAACTGCTTCACCTCATGATCCGGCTCTAATTCGAGCCAATGGACACGTTCGTAGCGCACGGCCGCAAGATCCACTACATTCAAACCATCCCCTTGAGGCTAATGGGAGATACCGCCACTTCGCCCGAGGCAATTAATATGGGGTACTAACATGGAACCTGACGTTCGGGACCGGGTCCCTTCAAAGCAAAATGGGTCCAAACCAGGACCCCCCAAACGTCGGGAGGGTATCTACTCGGACCTCTCGATGGGCGCTGCCAGGACTCCAAGGCCAAGATCCCTCTGGGCATAAACGTCAAACATAGAAACGCCAGGGGCCTCACAAAAACCGCAGGGTTTCTTTGAATCCATGACCCCAGGGCAACCCATTTTGGGCACGCAAGTTTGACCCACAGCCATCTAACTCAGGAGCCCAAAGTGTGCCTCCAACTCGTTTTGCCGTGAATAGAAGCTGTCTACTGCTTCAGGGCGACAAAGATATGCCTGTCAGGCAGCTCCTGAGCATCTTGAGCTGGGGGTGCAGGATGCCGTGAGAATTCCGGTCAACATGCAGGCTTGTTCAGTACATCAGGTGTTGGTAAGTCTACTGCATATGCCCCTTGTGACCCCAAAACGATGTGCAGGCTTGCATCTCATTTTGGCCAACTAGAGTACAGGGGTCACCGGATTTCCAAAAACAAGTTGCAAGTTACTTTTGGTTTCCATTGAAATGATCGCCACGGTTGGAGGTTCCAAAAAGGGAAATGGCTCGGAAAGCCTGAAGTACCCTTGCACAAATGGAAATGCTGCTCACCCTTGCGCAGATGGGCATGGAAGTGCTCCTCCTTTCCAGCCTAAAAGCCTGGCACCTCCATGTAGGACAAGTACCCTTTCAATATATCCAGATCCATGTCCTAGACCTTCAAAATCTGGAGGAACATAGCTGGTTGCCTACTATAACCAAGGGAGGATCAATCTTCTCAAGGACCCTCTAACTGGTGCCATGTTAGTAGGGAGCGTACAGTTTGAGTTTGATGCACGCACTCTGGCGGCCCTTTCTTCTTTGCGTTTGCCTCATGTCCGGCACTGCGGGATCTCATCACTTGGCTCCTGGCGATGCAAACGTTCGAAAAAGGCAGCCCTGAGTAAGCCATGTAAACACACACACACACACACCCTTCGTGCGGCAAGCGTTCGTGTCAGTCCAAACTCTATTGAGGTTTCAACAGATTCGGGAGGATGGATGGGCTGAAACAACAATCCAAGCCAACATTCGCAACAAGCATTCGTCTTAATGGGACTGAGGGATATCAATGGACACGCGAGACTAGCAAAATCAAGGGCCTAGCCACTAGTTGAACAGACCTAATGCGAGGGTGTGAAACATCAGGTGTTTCCTTCACTTTGCGGGGAACACCCATGCAGAAAAACATGTGGTCATTTTTGTTCAGCCACAGAATGAAGGCTACGATAGAAATGTAGATCCCATGTGCTTCAGCTCACATCTTGGACATGCCAACCACTTTCCTCAAGGGACCTGGTGCAATGTGGGTAGCGGCTCCAATCACTGCATCCTCCGGCCTCCAAATGTGTGGCCACGCTCGTGAGGAAGCCCCCGGGCCAGTTGTCACCTCCGGTTGAATCGCACCTTTGAGCTGCATTTGTTTCCGAAAGGGATCTTTTCCGACACACCAAAGAGCTAGCAAAGAAAGGGGGGCATCCTTTCTCCCCCCACTTCAGCTTCCGTCCAATTGGTGATTTGGATTCGTTTGGTGGTGAAACGGGGGAGGGTTCTCATTTACCTACAAGAACCAGGGCTTCGAGTCCAAATCCAAACCATCGGGTCCGGGCCCCAACGAATGGTAACCTGACAATTGGGTCTCAACTTACTGGAATGCCCCTCTTCCATTGACAGCTCCGTTTTGCTGTCGCAAAGCAAAGAAAAAGTGAAGTCTAACGGTAAAGGCTCTTGTCCCGAGGACACGTCTCTGGTACCCAAGAAACCGGTGCGTGTCTTATTTTTGGGACACCCAGAATGGTGGTGCTCCTTTTTAAGTCCTCTACTGACAACCCACCAAAAAAGGGGGGCGTCCCCTAAACTTAAAGACACCTAGCAAACATGGGGCACATCTCCGCAGGTAATCTCGCGCCTTCGCTTTGCGCTCGGGCCTCGTACTTGTGGAAGAGATCCTGAGTTGTTTTTTCCGCCCAGACGATCCGATACAACTCGAACGCTGCCGCGGGAATCATTGGTGGCTTACATATTGATTGAGAAGAACACAAAAACGGGTACGCCAAAAATTGTGCAAAGCGGGGAACATTGAAGTGTCAAAGCCTGATGTGAGCAAACCCTCAACCAAAAGAACCAAAGCAAACCATGCAAACAAAAACGCAAACAAAGCGACCCAGGGAGTTGATTTTCCATGTAAGGCAACGCCTTAGGCTGTGTTAAGTGCCCCATAGGTGCGGCAGAAAACAAACACACCGCTTCGTCACGAACAAACCAACCACACCGGTTTTATTTAAACCACCTATAACAAAAAATGTGTTAAACCGGTGTGGTTAATTTTGTTTAATTTGTTAAAGGCGAAATAAGAAAATAACAGAAAACAATCCCCTGCAGCAGAAAGGGTCGCTCTTGGTCGCTCCTGGCCAGTATCCCAAATATTGTCGAGACTTCGAGATTTGCTTAACCTGCTAGAGTCGTTGGGACTTTGTACGTGCACTGATATTTGAAAGTCAGAATGTAAATATGATAAGCGCGATATCTATCAACCCATGATTGTTCAAATCTAAGGTGCCAATGTGTACTTGATTGACTTTCACACATCTGAAGGCACACACTCTCCAAGCAATTGTAGTAAGGCGGGGCGACTTGCTTGAGGATTCAACTACTTGCCCGACTTTGACAAAAGGAATCGCTTCACCGCACTCTGACCGACCCCTAGAAACTAGCTGGTCAGCATTCAAGTCACATCTGGGCTACCCTCAGATCCCCTGCTAAAAGTTCAACTTTTGTTGGGTTAAATGGAAAGTACCACTAAACACTGAAAGGCGAAAACAGCTAAGGGCTGGGAGCCACCAAGAGATATGATCTGGCTTCTCAGCTTGCACACTTCGCTTTGAGTTGCCAGCCTTGACGTGCTTCACGAGCAGCCGCTGCTCGTCTTGGCGCTGGGCATCGCCGATGAAGTGCCATCTGCCTTCGGGGACCTTCGGAGTTCTTGCGTCGGATGTAGCTCTTGCGCGTGTAGCACTCTTGTGCCCCATTGGAGCTTCAGCTCCGAATGCTTGACGTGCCAGTAGTCAGTCCATTAGCCAACAGGAAACAACCACCGGCTTAGTCACGGGAAAGAAAGATACACATGGATCATGGATGAGTCTATTTTGGGAACTCCCAAAATCAAAATGCTGGCTTTCCCCCTGGTGTCCGTACCAAAAACAAAAACACATCATTCAAAGCTCACCAGCCAACTGACGGAAAAACAAAACAACAAAAATGTGGTACGGCCCTTGAGAACGGAACTTGGATCCCCCAGTAGGGTACCTTGCAAAAGGGAAAGCACAAGGGTTCCCACTGTGGACGGATCGAAAGAATATCAACACAGGTTATAAAACTTCATGCATGGTTTCATTCCGTGGTGCGAACGGAGTTCGCGACCATCCGCATCTTCGCGGCGGCCCTGCGCAAACAATACAGCGGAGATATTCTCAGAAGTCCAGTCGCCGTGGGAAACAAGGGGCGCTTTTTCTTGTTGCTTGAACTTAAAGGTAAACCCTGCCGCATCCCCAACACCCCCGCCCCCCAACACCCCCCCAAAAAAACGTAGCAAAAAGAAACACAAACCGAGAGGGAAAGAACTTTGGCGCCGCTCACGAACTGGGCTTCCTATACTAGGTCCTCCAGTAGAGCGGTTAGAATTAATAAGGGTACTTGGCGCCCGCCCTAAGTCAGAGCAGGGGACCGGAAGTCACTGCAGGCACCCCAACCGCGCATCGGGCACGCATAAAACCGAAAGTCACGGCATGGCGCCGAAAGTCAGAGCACGTGGTGCAAATCCGAAAGGCACATCGCATGTCAAAGTGCAACATTGGAATGTCTAAAACCTTCAAAACCATACGTTTGATGGGTCAAAATGCAGTTTGTTATGCCACCAGACCCTTGGAACAAACCCTTAAAGATGTGTCACTTATGCTTCTCTACTAGTCATCCCCTTAATGAAAAGACACCCTAGCTTCCAGTCATCAAAAAGATTCTTGAAAATCTATCTTGAGCACGGCTTCCAGAGGTCCAGGCGAGGTCCAGGCGAGGTCCAGGCGAGGTCCATCGTTGGCCGGACAAGCCAATGGTCCACATGAACCGAAAACAAGCAAGCAAGCAAGCAAGCAAGCAAGCAAGCAAGCAAGCAAGCAAGCAAGCAAGCAAGCAAGCAAGCAAGCAAGCAAGCAAGCAAAAGCAAGCAAAAGCAAGCAAAAGCAAGCAAGCAAAAGCAAGCAAAAGCAAGCAAAAGCAAGCAAAAGCAAGCAAAAGCAAGCAAAAGCAAGCAAAAGCAAGCAAAAGCAAGCAAAAGCAAGCAAAAGCAAGCAAAAGCAAGCAAAAGCAAGCAAAAGCAAGCAAAAGCAAGCAAGCAAGCGCAAGCAAGCGCAAGCAAGCACAGGCAAGCACGAGCAAGCACGAGCAAGCACAAGCAAGCACGAGCAAGCACGAGCAAGCACAAGCAAGCGCAAGCAAGCAGAAGCAAGCACGAGCAAGCACAAGCAAGCAAAAGCAAGCGCGAGCAAGCAAGCAAGCAAGCAAGCAAGCAAGCAAGCAAGCAAGCAAGCAAGCAAGCAAGCAAGCAAGCAAGCAAGCAAGCAAGCAAGCAAGCAAGCAAGCAAGCAAGCAAGCAAGCAAGCAAGCAAGCAAGCAAGCAAGCAAGCAAGCAAGCAAGCAAGCAAGCAAGCAAGCAAGCAAGCAAGCAAGCAAGCAAGCAAGCAAGCAAGCAAGCAAGAGCAAGCAAGAGCAAGCAAGAGCAAGCAAGAGCAAGCAAGAGCAAGCAAGAGCAAGCAAAACCAACCAAGTGGTCAGAACATGCCTCTACCCGCAAGCGCAGGAGCACGCGTTGGGTAACAAAACTGCATGGGGGCACCCGATCAGGACGACTTCCCCAAAGCAAAGGCAGCGCCAGTTGGGCGGAAACACAACGGGACAGCAACCACATGCTCAGAACATTCCTCTACTGGATCACGTGCTTCGCAACAAAACTGCATGGGGACGCCTGCTCAAGACAACGTCCCCAAAACAAACACACGACAAGGATTGAGCGCAAACACAAGGGCGCACCAACAAAATGGTCATAACAGGCCTCGACCCAAAACGACACTCGAAAGTTCGAAAAACATGCGGGCACGCAGTGAAATCACACTATGATGAAAATATTAAACCAAACCTAGCTGCGCAAAAAAGATGCAATATATTGGCGGCAACCACGACTTTTGGTCGCCGCCACGACTTAGGGCAACCGCTAGTACCAGCTTTTTTCTGTAGTCTATTTTAGTAGGGGAACCGAATTTTCCATCCAAAAAAGGGGTGAGAAAGGGCACTTAGCTGGGGGACCTATAGTTCCAGATCGAAACCTGAGCTCTGGCCGAGGCGCTGCCATCATCTGCTCCGGCATCTGCGCCTCGGCGGAGTTCAGACCCGGCCAGAATCGGATAAGACCAAGGACGCCCGGGGGGCAGGGGAGGAGGGGGGGAGGGGGAGGGGAGGGGGGAGTCGGTCGCAATCTTTGTGACCCGCGCCCCTCCCAAAATGAGCCATATTAGCTGAACATGTGGACGTCAGAACGGGTTAATGCATTGGCAGCGTCTGTATCTTTCATGATCTTCATATCTGTATCTGAATTATCCCCTGAGAAGTAGACCATAGGAAAAAAAAGGCTATGATCTACAACCAAAAGTCCAAAAGTCATCTCCCTTTACTTTCCTGTCATATCCTATTCCTTCATCCACTTTTACCAATAAACAAACAATTGGTTCTCCGAGACATGTTCATTGTAAGGATTTGGACACCGCTATTAGACCGTGAATGCCTTTCCCTGGCCTTCCCATGTCATCTCATTATTCCACAGAAACGAACGGATAGAGATATGATAATGGGAGATAAGAAAGGGAAAGACTTGGAAAGGGAAAGAGAAGAACTATGTCTCCATTCATTGCATTCTTGAATAAGTATTTCCCCATCTATCTATTACTTTCCACACTGTTCTATAACCGTCTGTTCCACCATTATAAATCCCATCTATTAATCCGGAATGCCTTTTGGAATGGTAGGAGTAAGAGAACGAATCAAAGTCGTCATATCAAAGTAATCCAGATATTAATACACACGTGATATGATGAGTTGTAGAACTCCCGAAAGAAGAAATAACAATATGACAAATATATTGTGGATAAAAGGAGCATCATAGCAACGAGAGAGCTGGCAGGAGGAAAGGAGAGAAAGGTATCTGATGCCTCAGGTAACAGCAAGCCAGATTCTGTTGGTTGTACATTGTCAGCTTTCCTTGCCAGGCCTTGCAGCGAAGTCTTCTCTAAGAATCCGGTGTCAGACATTATAGACTGGACAACAAAAGAGGGTGAAGGAATCATAGATTGAACAGAAAAAACTTTGGGAAAACTCTGCAGACGTAAAGGCCGCAGAGAAACTGTGACACCTGACATGGGTCTCAAAATGAGCAACTCCCAAACAAATAGATTCCCCTTGTCTCCCTATTTCATCACCGATGGAAGAAACGGAGTACCCATCCCTTGCTTGTTTTACAGATGGACCCGGCGAAACTCCCTTCCTGGTTCGGAGCATTGTTTGGGCATTTTGTTTGCATGGCTCCAATCCCAAAAAGCAAAAGGTGCCCCACAAAAATGGCTCCAATTCCAAAACTGCCTAAAACCGAGCCCCGGAACGGACGAGGAAACAAGGCACGACCCCTCCGGTCCAGTTCGCCAGTTCGCCAGTTCGCCAGAGCCCGGGCCCGTTTCGGGGGCCCGGCCCGGGTCACGTTGGCCGCGGGCCCGCAGTTCAGGGAAAGCTGGTCCAGCGCGAGAAGGTAGAGCCACTGGCAGCATTTCGCTTCTCGCCTCTATTCTTAGCCTACACTGAGATAGCCTTTGATCGCCTGGGGCCTTTGATGGGGCAGACCGCAGGGTTTTGGTCTTCGCTTCCATAGCCCAAGCATTGGTACCACTTTGAGCCGCAGCCATTTGAATCTTCGCTTCCTCCGTTTTTTGTTGGAACAACATCTCAAGCTCATGGAAGATTCAGTCCATTTGAGTGACAAGAGATGGACGATGTTATACGTTGCAACACCTCAGATGGGAGCTGAACCCTCTCTCAGCAAAGTCCAAGCAAGGTGTGTCTTTGTTTGAGAGTCCCCATTCGCAAGGGGGAGGGGTGGGTTTGTGGGTTTTAAAGGAAACCAAAAAAGAACCGCAGTCCATTTGGTGGGTCCAAGTACCTACCTTCATTTCATCATCTGATCCTTCAGAACATGACATCCCATTTGGGCATTTCTCGAAATAGGTGCATTCCAAAAAAAATGCTTTCCGTTGGTTTCCCTTCAAACAGAGATGAAACCGGTGCCGTCCAAAAACACTGACCAGTTCAACCGGGACTGTGCAATTGTTTCTGTTTAGCAACAAGTCCGACCCAAGCCCCAGGTCTTCCAAACAAAGACATTGGATTTTCTTCTCACACCTCAGAAATTGCTCCTTCGCAGTAGCAATCAAGACCTGGGATTAAAGGTGTCGACCTGATGCAAAACATCGAAGGGGCCTGCAGCTGGCAATATAAGCCGGTAGTATTAGCAAACACTGATGCCCATCAACATGCAAAACCGATAGAGCAAACCACAAACAACCGATACCCTGGTAATATTGCCCGCTGCTCATTTGGGGTTGGGACTGTCCCCTACTAGCCCTCATGCCAGGGAATTGTCTTCCAGGACCCCAGTTACATGTTCGTGGATATGTGACTCACACGACCAAAAACGCGTGTGCCTTGCCCGCTCCATTGCCGTGCCAGGAGACCGGCAAGTTGTCCTACCCGGGACGGAATCTATCGGGTGGAGAACCTTCATGAGCGGTTGTGGGCTTGGGATTCCCCATTTTCACCCCACTCCCAGAAAACTCAGGACAACTCCGGAAACTTGGCAACCGCTCAGATCCCCGGGGCTGTTGAAAACTTCCCCAAAAGATATGACGCACACTGAATGAAGTGCATTTTTTGACAAACCGGGGTCTGACAAATGGTGCCGCAAATTCAGTGATAGCAGTGAAAGCTGATGCCCAAACAGCGGGGGAACCCCTTGTGAAACGTACGTTCTACCTTTGTCTGCAAATTCCAAACATCTCAAAATTCTGGCATGGGGTGAGAAATGGTGAGAGCGCTGGTGTGGAAGAATATGATTATCGAAGCTCTCAACCAATATGTGCATTAGTCAACATGATTCGCACCGGCAGCCTTGAAACGAGAAGGAGTGCACGATGAAGCAGGATATCTGACGGCACAAACCACTCCCTGCTCTGCCAATTTCAAGCTATCCACGTGGTCATTGTAAGGTGGCTGTTCTGACGCCATACTGAGATCGACACAAGCATCCCATCCTTTAGTGAGGATGGGTGGCAATCCTTTCAATGAAAATTCACAACGCTACAAGTAGCATCTCTTGCATGAATGATCCAAACTTATTGTTCAACCTATCCAAGGGCAACACAAACCAGAAGGAAACCAACACAATCCGGCCATCAAATCAGAGCGAACGCTTAGCGCCCCCAGCCCCGGGCCCCTCACCTCCCGCCACACTGCGCAGGCTTTCACTGTGAAGCGCTCGTAGAAAAGCTCGTGAAACCTGTGGAGCGGAAAAACAGTTTATTCCCCCGAAGAGATGATCCTGCTCTGTCGCAATTACTAGATGAATTGACGCTGTCTACTTCTTTGGTATATACCTTGTCAAGACTAGCCTAGTTGTTTGCGTCCAAGTACCGCGTGAGCATCTGGGCGAAACAACAGAGTCTCCAGCCCCTTGAAAGACATTAAAAACTCGTTCGAAACAACTTTCAGGTCGCGTGCTAGGGGGGCAACAGGGCATCCACACGGCTGATTGCTCCGTTCTTCAAGTCAGAAGCCAAACTTTGAGAAACAATTGGCGCCTAGCTGCTTGAAGCCAGGTTAGGAGAGCGGCGCCTAAACCCATGGACTCTTGGTCGCTCTTAGTACGAACATGGTTGGGGTTTATATTGGTTTCACCACAACCCCAACTCAGGCAGGTACTATGGCCTTTGGAGGTTGGGGATTTCATGACGAAATGGGCACGAAATGGTTGTCCTAGCTCGACACCTCAGGAAGCCCACCTCCGGAAGTTGTCGCTCTCAGTGCAGCAAGGCTTCACCTAACGAGCGGGTGAACGCAACGGGAAGGAAACGAAGGCTCTTCGTGGGACCCTTGCTGGAAGATAAACTTTGAGTGGGATGTGTCATAACTGCAGGCTCAACAAATTGTACCCAACGTGGCCCCTTGGCAAATGGAAACAAAGACTAAAAGCTGCGTAACCCTAGCACTTCAAATTTCAGCCACACCCACATCAAGCTTGTTCTATAAAAACTATCAGCCCAGGGTATGGCTGGGAACCACCCAGCCAAAAAAAAAGAAGCTCAGTGGCCATAGCATGAAAGCAATCATATTGCAAAGCTGTACTCAATACAAAGGAACCGAAATCATCTGTCACACAAGCGCCAGGAGACTTGGGGAAAACCGAAATTGGATCAATTTGGCAATACTTTGCTTCCCAAGCATGCACTCAGCTATGCCTTGCTTTGCAAGATTGCCCTCGGGTGTGTGCGTGATCCAGCTATTATTGGCTCGTCCGGCGCTATCTGGCACACTATGCTGGTGGAAGGACTTTGACCCACGATCCTTATGGAACAGGCAAGTGAAGAGATTCACCAGGTCCTCCAGTGGAGAGGTTAGAATAAGGGTACCCTTTTTTTCTGTAGTCTATTTTAGTAGGGGAACCCTCCACAACCAAAAAAGGGTACAAGGGCCCTACTGGGGGACCTAGAAGAGATTCAGGAACACAAATGGATGTTCGGCAAGTCGAGTCAACTCCGGACGCGAAGGTTTTGGCCATCAGCAGCTCTTTTAACGACAGCACATGGGGGTCTCTAAATGCGAAACTCTCCCTTTTAAGTGTCCCTTTAAAGCACATCAACAAAAACAACATATATATGTGGCTACAACCTTTTTGGCGTCCTTTTCAAAACCAGCCCAACAACTCGCACACTCACACAAATGCAAACAAAATAAAAAATGCCACCCTCACCTTTAAACCAGACCCATCCGGTTGCGAGGCGTTCCTTCCGAGTCTTTGGGTCCGGCTGCACAGGTGGGCGCCCAATCGGTGTCGCAGGGCCGGTTGGAGATCTCCAGGAAGTTCCTGCGCCCATCTTTTGGGCACGGCCTTTGCGTTTGCGATAGCGCACAGTGTCTGTTCGACGCGATTTATTGGGAGGGGGAAACAAGGAGAAGGCCCCAAAAACAAGGAACGGCCGAGTTGGTAGGCAAACCAAACCAAAACCTATAGGGTGTTGCTCCATTTGTTTGGAACAAAATCAAATTTAGGTGTTGCCCCCAGTGCTTCCAGGCAAGCCACCCTGCTAGGTAACCCTTCGGGATCCTTACCTCTAGGTTTTACTGATCCTTACCTCTCAGTTTTACCGTTTCCCCCATAGGGAAACCAAACGGAATCCTAAGCCGAAGCCATTTCAGGTGTCCCCTAAAAACCAAATGGGTGTTGCCCTAGTTGGTAGGGAAACCATGGGAAACCATGAAGCCATGAGGATTCCTTTGAGAACCCGCGTATGTGTCAAAATTGAGGAGCCCTCTAAACTAAAATGATGGTTGTTCTTTTGGATTCCCTGGTTCTCAGTTTTTTGGTGTGTCAGCAAATGTTTATCGTTGTGTACTCTTCAAACACCCAGCAGGACAATGCCTGATTACCTATACTGAAAACACTATCTACACAGGTTGTTCCTTTGATTTGTACATGGTGGTTTCCCTTGATCGTCTATCAGGTTGACTGGAAGCACCTCTGTGAAACAGTTGACATGTTGCTGGTTACAAGAAAAGATAAGGAAACTCAAAAGGCCCTCTAAAGGCAAACAAGTTAATTCAAGTTAATTAAGTCGGACAATGAGTAGCGGCTGACTCTTGGCTGGGTCATTGGGCAAATAGTATTTTTCTTGGCTGTCTTCCTTTGGCCCTGCGGGGGTAGGGGGCGAGGGGGGGTCCCAATTCCATATTGATAGCAATCTCCGCTTATGCGACCCGTTGGATCAACCTTGGACTCGATGGACTCAACTGCCAGTGAATGCATGAACAGATGGACGACGTGTGTGTGTGTGTGTTTTTTGTAGGGTACCCTTGTTGGGTGGTTTTGTAGGCAGACCAAAAGGAAAACCACCTTTTCCGGGGTCCCCTACAGGACAGACCCACTTAAGCTCAATCGGATGCGCCTCTGACAACCCGTGTAGGGCCCGGATACAAGTAGAATCTATGTCAGTGGGGTTAATTCGAACCACGCTTAAATCGTATCTGCAAGGATCCACTGGGTACTCTATCCAGGACGCTTTCGTTGTCTCAAAATCCGCCCCCCCCCCCCCCCCCGCAAAATCATGGCGGCTGTTTCTTTTTAACCCAATAAAAAAACGTTCGGAGCCTCTAACACCACACTCTTTTGGTCACACTGCCCTGTCCCGAAGATCTTCTGGTGATAGTCCAGCGCAATCCGGTCCTCGCGCTTTACGTTGCCATGACCAAAGGAGCGAAGAAGAGTCGACCGCTCAATTTACTTTCGGTGTGTCGACACTCCGGTGACCCCGTTTGGGCTATTTTTGCGACCTGTTAGATATATATATATATATATAATACTGTAAAAATAACAAGTATAGGGAAAAAAGGGGGAAAACACATTCTTGAAACGTGCTTCAAGAAACGCGTGCCGCTTATCCATCAAGGACTGCACTGCGAATTACAAAGAACTAGTCATCCAGCGCGTCATCAAAAAACCTCAATCGCCCAAAGCAGCCACAAGGCACCGGTCACTGTCTTGATCAAACCCTCCCTAGTGGGGAAAGAAGCCGTTTTCCCCAAATCGAAGGTTCCAGGTCAAGCAACAACCAAGGTCACTTCTTGCCGTGGCCGCCAGCTAGCCATTGGTTTGGGCAATCGACCCCCGTTCAAAACCGCGCAGAGTCAGCAAACATAGCGAGCACCGTTGCAAGGAATTGCAGGTGTGATCTCTGTCCGAGGTGGAAAGAAAACTTGGCTGTGGACATGTGAAGTTGAAAAACATGGACGCCACAGTCTAATCCATGCAAAAAGCTCCGCTTGTGACATCGATCCTGGTGGTCCCAAAAGTAGAGCTTAAAGAAGTACCTGGCGGGCACAACGCCGTGGTTCAGATGTCAAGTGACCTCGACCCTGCGACAGCACAACTCTTCCGATAAACGTCGCAAACAAACATAACAACGACACTCGGCTGCAGGGGAACAGCAGGAGCAGTAGAAGGAGGAGGAGGAGGGGCAGAAGGGGAAAACACTCCCTCGCGCACACGCACGCACGCACGCACCCACACACACACACACACACGTCGTGCACACGCGCGCACGCAGGCAGGCAGGCACGCACGCACGAACGCACGCACGCACGCACGCACGCACGTACACACACACACACACCACTCACAGCCACCGACATACACGCACACACACGCACACATGGCACACGCAATTACACACACACACACACGCACACATAAGTATAGACACACACACACACACGCGCGCAATCGCGCAGAAGCGCAAACGTGCAAATGCTCACACACGGGCGCACTTACACTTACATACACTTACATACACTTACATATACTTACACACACGTACGCTTACACTTATACACAAACACACACACACACACACTCACTCACACACCCACCCACGCATGCACTCACACACGCGTACACACACACACGTTCATGATACGGGCACTGGTCTGACAGCTGACCTTTCTCATAATGCTCGCCCACAGCAGTGCCTCAGCAAGACACGCATAGTGGACCGATATGGCTGTGGGTCAAACAAATGTAGCAAAATGGCACCTTGGCAAATGGCACCAAAGACTAAAACCTGCGTAACCCCAGTTGTTTGATTTTGAGCCACACCCATATGGTCCCAGAGAGGGATCCGGTGAAGTTGAAGGGTTCCGAGGCAGGTGACATTCTCTGACCATAACTGCGTGACCCGAGCCGACCTTTGCAGCGCCATTCAAGCTGGGCCGCTCATTGATGTCTCACCAAATCAAAGAAATCACAAACATCAACCTGTGCCAAAGTTGAAACGGAAGCTCGGAATCCCTTTTGCTGAAAACGGAAGCTACAAATAACAAATCAAATGAGCTTTGGGTTTGGTCATCTTTTAAAGGATCGGAGCGACCCTCGATGCGTAGCCAGCCCTTCAATGCTGGAAGCTCAGCGAATCAACATTGCAAACCAAACGCCAGGCGCACACGTGCGCGCTGCCGTTTGTCCACTTCCATAGTTGATGCAAGGACGCTAAGCGTGTTCGAAGGGGGTCCCACTGTCCCACTATGAAACATGGCATTTGGACGGCTCCCTGTCAACGCATTTTGTGACTTTTGCAAAGCTTCATCTTCGTATGCCATGTCTAACAAAGCCGAAGTCCTACGGTTAAGCTACTCTTCCAAGCATTCAAGTCATACAGTTCAAAGCGGCCACTCAGCTTCGCAAGTTAACGCTGGCTTTGATAAACTTGCTGAAGCAGCACGCACGCACAAACACAACAGATTACAACAAACACACATAAAAACGGCGAAGGAGATACAATTTGGCTTCAAGTCATACTTGAATTTGTGGCAAAAAGCTGAGCCCGCTCCGATTGCCCAGGTTCAATCTTGGCTTAGGAGCCAACTTTGGTGATTCCGCGAGTGGATCGCAGCCACCCGTTTGACCCTTTCGACCCTCAAATGAGGCTGCAAATCATTCATCCCTGTCCAGCACCTGTTGGATGACCCAAACTGCGTGTCTTATAAATGCTACATGCTTGTCCTTTTCTGCAAGCTGGAACCCGCTGAGCAGAACTTATCTCGGCATCCCTTTCTCCGAAGGCCACTGTGACAGCTGCTCACGTCTCATCTCGAACATGTTTCAAATGCATGCGCAACTGCAGGCGAAGCGTCCCGAATCTTCTGTGAGAGGTTCTCCAACTGTGCCCCCCAAATCCCTGGTATCCTGTTGTAATGCCTTTGGATTGGAGTCTACAACTGGCTCAGTTGGATAACCAAACACAGTTGCGTTCTGATGCGTTCTGATGCGTCCCGATGCATGACGTGTTCATTAGTGGGATCCAAGGTTACTGAAAGACAAACTTTGCATTCCATGTGTGCCGTCAACGCTCATCGTGTGAAACACGTGTCCCTGCTAAACCTGAGAAGGGACCAATGTACAAACCTTATTCATACAAGGCTGATGCATTTACAGCACATACCCCAGGTGTACTTGAACACCGTCTCACCCAGGTCCCTTGGTCTTTCAAATGCCTCCAGTCAGATTCAAGTGTAACATGGCCCCAACCTAAGGATACACATTGTTAATTCAATATATACACTATCAAATGATGATTCACATTTCTTCTGTCCCAACTTATAAAGAAACTTTGAAGGAGACCCCACTTTCAAGTTGGTCGGAGGGGATGCTCTCCTTGGAATCGAATGTCTGCGTCTTCTATCCGCTAGGTCCTCCAGTAGAGAGCGGTTAGAATAAGGGTACCCTTTTCTCTGTAGTCTATTTTACTAGGGGAACCCTCCCAATCAAAAAAGACACTTTTTCCAGGGCACCCAGCTGGGGGACCTAGTCTGCGACGACCCATGAACCCGACCACCAAATCCACGAGCTCGGCGCTTTTCATGTGCAGCACGGCCGACAGCATCTCGAGAAGCTCCTGCCAACGGATCTCCGGGAGGATAAGTTGGCCCAAGCGCTGGTCCAGTGAACATATTGTGTCAAGTTGAGGTGAAAGTGGCAGAGTCAACCCGTGTGTACTCATATGTATACATACATGCATACATGCATCTACATATATATATATATATATATATATGCATTATACTTGTACGTATGTTTTTTGGGGTTCACGCATAAATCACGCTTGTCAATCATACAGGCAGAAGTATGAGAGTACACACACCCTTAAGCGGTGGTCCTGTTATCTTCTCATAGGTTCTCTTTAAGAACCAATTTCGCAGGAACATGAGCATCTCCACCATTCTCAACAAAGACTGTTTAGTTCCCCACCCAAAACCATCGCCCTTCAAGTGAACGAATTCAGGGGTCCTCAAAATGTGTCTTCTCAAAGGTGGCGTCCCTTGGAAAACCGCCATATGGGTCGTGAGCATGTCGACTGTTGGTCCTCCGCTGGTCCCACATAGCCGCCCGCGTTGAGGTACTTGGAGTCTGTGGGGGCCTAGTGACGCCGCAAACCGAGGCGTAGGTTCCGTTGGTATCCATGAGAAAAGAAGCGCTTATTGCGATTGCGCTTGTCGTCTTGTCCTTGCCAATAGCCACAGCCTAATGTGAAGCACAGGTTCATGTGAGCCAAAGGTCTCTGTGTGCCACTAACCCAACTCTCATGTTAACAACTTTGTGACAAGCCAAAGATCCTGATCAACATCAATCAACCAGTTCTATCATCCATAGAAGCCACCAGGCTATGACCTGTCCAAGCCGCAACCGGCATGTCAACAGCGGTTGGCCAGCCCTCGTGCGGAACACCGCAGCCTCCGGGTATCTGGCTTCATCCTGCGGTCAGCAGGCTTCCCTTGAGCAAGGGAGGTCTTGTGTGGTCTTCTAGGGTACTGGTTGGATGCAGATTTTGCCGACCCACCCTGGAGTGCCAAAAGAGTACCCAGCATGGGAGAGAACAAGGTGCAAACAACAAGCAGCGCATTCGATCTGTTTGCCAGAAGTCTGGGTAAGGCGTGTGACAGCCAACTGCACTTGCTGTACTGTCGATTTGCTTGTTATTGCGGACAGCCAATAACAGCATTTGCGTGGATTGATTTGCATATTTGATGTTCAGGACACCCGCATAGGATTAGGATCCCTTGTTCGTGTCTCTCGCTGCGAAAGGGCAGTAAGAAACTTTGGAACGGCTCATGTCGTGTAAGCCTAAGATCGCATAGACAGCTTATTACCCCAATCCACTGAAGAATCATACCCTGTTTGGCTTTCTACTAACTAGCTACAGAAGGTCACATGCTGCTACTACATATGTACAAGGCTATGTATATACATATATGATTACATGCGTAAATTATGCATGCTTAGGAGTCATAACGTGTACACCTTGGTACATGATCGCAAACCTTGCCAAGCTTTACACGCCAGGGTCGCCAGCTTCTAGACAACACCAATGTGGCTGATGCGGCATCGCTCATTAGGCCGTGGCCCGCATCTTTTAACCCCAAGATCACGCTCCGAGTACCTTTTCAGCAGCTACTTTGACCCATGAGCCTCAAACACCATGCTCCAAAGGTGCCTCTGAACATTTTCTTGAAGCTTGAAGCCTCCGTGTGGTACTCTGACCAACGTCAACCAGGCAAGTTAGTAGTTCGATTGCATCGAAGCACACTCATGTCTCATGACCCCACGCTCCCGTGGATTTCTGCGGCTGGCAAACCTGCCCTTCCCTTCCAATTGAACCAGCAAGACAAAGAGAAACCAAAACTCACTGCCCAGTACAAAAAAGGCACCTCCACTGAAAATGGACCACCAAAACCGAGCAACCATTTTCTGGTCATTTCAGCTCGGGCTTGGATAGACGCTCGAAGTGAGAGATTTGGAAACTGTTGCGCCAAGCAACTGGAATATACAATGTATATATGTATATACATACATATATACTATTTGCGTGCATTATATACACAACATGTTTGTCCAAATTTCCCCACCGCGTCCCTCTAGATACAGGGTCCATAGTCCGACTGCTTGATGAAACAGTGTTTAACAAACCCTATGTAGAAAGCAAAAGCCCGGGTTGGCCAACCGTAACAAACGGGCCGTTCGACTGCCCTAAGCCCAACACGTGTTTGACAGCAATTGGGACATACTGGGAAGAAGACATGTCATGGTATTCCTGATTCGTCCAATTTGTCCAAAGCCTAGTTCAACGCGGGTACAGCAGGAGAGAGGTAACAAACACCCTGGCACAGAAATCAATGCAAAACCTAAGGAATCCACATTGACGCTCAGACAGCTGCCTCAATCACTTACCCTAACGCTTCAAGCAGTGTCTAAGCTGCTTCTTTGACTCACTTCCTGAGGGGACTGGCCAAACAAAGTCTGAACTTTCTATTTACAAAAAAAAAAAAACAGTCTTTCCAACAAATGACTAAGTCCACAAACTTGCTATTGACCCAAGTTGACCCCTCAAAAGCCATCCTCAGACACTTGGACCCCTCCGGATTAGGACTTCCTTGCACGTGCGGCTCCTCCTGCGAGCAGAATCTGGCACCGCCCCAGCCACAAAGTCGCCTAAGCAGGCGCCCTCCCATCGCAGGATACAGGGGGTGTGCGTGCTTTTTCGGTAGGGTACCCCATGTTTGGTGGCTTGAAAGGGAAACCAAATGGAACACTGGAGCCATTTTGGATTTTGGGAGGTCCCTTAAAAACAAGGAACACCCATACCATTGATCCGCTCCCCCTATTAATGAATGACCCCAATTAATAAAACAAAGGAAATCCGGGGCCCGGGACCAGATGTCCACTCCGCACAATTGATTTTCCATTGCGCCAATACTAAACCAATGCTAAAGTCTTGGAATCCTTATTAGGGGGCACTTTTAACAAGCTTCCAGCCCCACTTTTAAAAAGGTGGGTTCCTCAAAAGATGAATTCCCTAAAAGGTTGCTTCCCCAAAAGCTGGCTTCCCCACTCCCCAAAAGGTTGTCCCTGGTTGTCCCTGGCTAATTAACCTGCCTGGCTGCAAACAAACAACCAGTAAACTAAAAAACAAATAGAATGATACATCAAATTTCCTTATTAAACCGCTTACTCGCGGACCTTACAATTCAATCCATTTCCTCCAAATCCTATGTGAACCCTCACATTGTTGGAAAAGCAAAAAAACCCAACCCCAAAAACCCCAATTTAAAACAAACAAAACATGTTTGGGGGATTTATTTATAATCGGGGGAGGGGGGCGCGTATTTATTAATAGGGGGAAGGGATTACTTTATCTCAGGCAATCAACAGCCGGGGTTTTGGGAATGCACCGAAAGCTTCGGGCTGCTCTTTACGAAAAGGAGTCTTTTGTCGGGGTCATTCACCCACCAAGCCGGCAAGACAATATAAGTTGCCGTGGTTGAAAGATGGCCATTCTTGTTGTTTCGGTGGAATGCTCCAGGGCGCTGTTTGAAAGTTGTCAGGTGTGAGAGCAGAAGTCGCATGCTGTGCTGTCCGATTTGGCTGTGGGTCAAAAATCGGTACCCAAAATGGAGCTCTGGTAAATGGAACCAAAGACTAAACTCTGCGGTCCCCTGATGGCTTAATTTTGACCCACACCCATTTCACAGCAGTTTCATGGTTGGTATGGAACTTGTTGGGTCGGGCTCCAGACGGGATCCTCAAATTCTGAACCGACTCGGGTTGATGGAAGATGATTCAAACTCCGTCTCTGGCCCCAAAACGCTCGGATGAAGCGCATTGTGCAGTTGGGCTGTACTGTATTCGTTTGACATGCGGCTTATGAGCCTTGACTAGTTCGAAAAGGTCAGCCTAATTCGAAGATGGTTGGCCGGAGGGCCTCCAAACCGCCCTGTCCAGGCTCTCTTTTGGACCCGGCTCTGCTTCAAAAGCTTCTAAACTTCCCTCTATGGAGGGTCGGACGCCATTTTCCCGAAAGTGGATGGCTGGTGGAGTTTCCCAGAGTTTCCCAGGGACTGTGCTGCTTTTGTTGCTGCCCACTGCCGCAATTCGCGCAGTCCTGTTCCTTGTGGGAAAGACTGTTTTACTCCACTCTCTAGCCAAGAGGCTCCGTGGACATGACAATGGCACGGGGTGGCGCAGCCAGCTCCTGGGCTTGACGCCAGAATCTCTGGAGTAATTGCAGACCACAACCCCAGGCCCTGCTTACATACCCCAAATTGGGTCATACCCAATTGGCAGATACTGGTTTGGAGGCATTCGGGGCACATACCCTGAAAACAACTCTTGTGTATGGTTTATAGGTGGAATATGCGTTTAGGGCATATAAGCAGGGCATTGGACACAAGCAAAGCATTTGCCAACATATTTCTGTTGGATACATGCATCGACTGTAAAAAGACTGCCCAGTCAAGTAGCTTCAATATGCGATCAGAACATCAAAACAGTGGCTTGCTTGATTCAAGCGGCCATTGAATTGACCCAGCGCGCATTGATATGCCACACAACATCGACAAGCGCATCAAGCTTCAGCTTGAGACTGGCGGGAAGTTGCAAGTTGAGTCTGCAACAGCACCATAAAGCCTATTTTAGTAGGGGAACCCTCCCCCAAACAGGGGTAAAAGGGCACTACTGGGGGACCTAGTTCCTTAGGTCGCTACCCACATGCATAGTCTTCCCAGCGAACCACAAGCGGAAACATGCCGGGTAAACGTAGACGGCCCAATTCCTTTTATATAAGGGGGTGGATGAACTTGTAAAAATGATCGCCAAGATTCGACCTGCTTCAAGCAAACAGTTGAAGCCACAGATCCGTTGCCAAAGAGCAAAGCCAACACAAGGAGCGCTCCTCGTAGCGCCGGGCGATGACCCGTGCAGTCACCGGGCCCTTCAGGACTGAAGCCCAGTGGTGTGAGGGCATGCTGTGATTGTGGAAGTGATGAATTGAACTTGGTGATGTAAAAACATGTTCCGGTGGAAGTAATGGAGTAATATTCTTGCTTTGTTGAAAGACTGAAGACATAAACATTCCAAAGCAATATGATATAACATATTTTTTCAGAATCAGTTCAGGTACGACATCACCCAACCTCACCTCCCTGAGTGGCTCGTACAGAAGCTTTCCTGGCACATACCGTTTGGCAAAGTATCCCTGAAAAACAGACCCCTAGTGGTCCGTTGATCTGCTGCTAAAACTTATCAACAAACCTTTACTGTGGGTTATTCTGAACATTCGTATAAAAGTCTGCGCACATGAAGGTTATGGTTAAGCCGGTCAGCAAAGCGTGGACAAGGACTGGACCCTGAAATACAGGCCGTCGGCAAGATAGATATCTTGACGACCTTTCACACCATCCCCTACTGGAGGACAAATTCAGGTGCACCCAAGGGGATTCGTCAGTCTGATTGAGTGCAAAAGTGCTAATTTCCTTAGATGGGGGGGGGTTCATACAATTCCTTTCACAAGGGTAAATCTAGCTACTGTAGTCATTGGCCAGGAAGGAAATCCACATCAGCTGGAAGCAGCCACCAAGTCATTAAATCTTTAAGCTAACTTTCAGCACAGGCAGCAATCGGGCAATCAAACATTGATTTGATATTGGCAGCTTCAACTTTCGCAATTCGCCAGAATGCAATCAACGACTGTTCAGCTTACCCCTAACTGGCAGAAAGCTTGATGAGGTCGGGGGATCACTTGGGGTTTTGAATCCCCAGTTCCATCGGGAGAGCCAAGAATCCTCCGTGAAGTATTGCTGGGTTCGGGTGCCAGTGTGAAGCCTGCAAACACGGTAGAGGTCAAACACTTGCGTATATAGAGGCCCTCCGATTCCACCAGATGCCACATCTGAAGCTCCGCTCACTTCAAAAGTCGTTTTCGGCGTTTGGGGTCGGATGGGAGTATCCCAAGTCCAAAACATCGGGACATTCAGCAGGAAATTCGCCGAAACCATCCCAAACCATCCTACTTTTGGTTGGTCCTTGGCTCGTTTCTGTGGGTCGCCTCTGGTTTTGCTCGGTCCTTGGCGCATTTGCAGACATTTCCGGGAGGTGGGTGTCTTGAGAACAGCAAGCTGCAGGGCGGCAACTCCTTCCACACCGAAAACCCGAAAAACAAAAATCAGGCCCCTGGCGGAAGGGGCGGTCGCCTGGAGCTCGACGTCAGCCGTGTTTAGATGGAACCCCTGCATTCCTCAAGGAAACCAATGGTGAAATATGGCTGTGGCTCAAACATAGGTACCCCAAATGGGTTGCCCTATATGGGAAACAACTACTAAAACCTGCCGTGTGGTGGTCTAATTTTGAGTACCCATATTTTAGCCCCCGTTGTTTTAACGGTAGCTGAATCCCAAGGGGGAGTGAAGCCATTGGTCAATTCTACTGGGCGGTTTTCTGGTACCCGGCTCAACATGGTCTGACTCACTTTCGGTGGGCTAAATTGGAACACCCACCCACACCAGCTCAGAAGCAACTACGTAAACACCGACGGCTGGGAACAGCCAAATTATAACAAATATAGGGTTCCCTTGTTCCATTGCTTGTGACATATTTAGGGCATCCAAAGCTGCACGTTCGCGAGTTCACTGTGAGAGTCGAATGCCAACGATGCTCCCAGGTCCACGCTTGTGTTTCGGTCCTCCAAAATCATTGCTTTCCTTTTGGCTTCCACTTAAATCATAATTAAAACAAGAACAACTATAAAGGAGGGTTCACCCCCCCACCAAAGAAAAGCGTGTATAGATATATATAATATGCAACCACGCCAAGTTAAGGCTGTAAGGCCCACAGAGTTCTTCGGAAGCTGTCCGCCGGTCCACACCTCTGTCACATCGTTGAAGAACACGTCCAGGCCGTCCACGACAAAATACAGCACGTCCTGCAGAAAGCGATGCCCTAAGGGTCAAATTCCTGGTACCTTCCGAGCAGGTTCTGAATGACCCTTTTGACCCCGCAAAAACCATCCTCAAAGGTACTGGGCCCTCTGAGACAGTAGCAGGTCTCACTGAGTGGACTTGGCTAAAACAAACCTAGACTGCTCGTGTGCCACAAAGCGTGCTCTTGATGTTCTTCTCAGCACCCGACGGCTCTTGAGGGGTTATTCATCACTAATTCGGCAATCTGGGGCTGAATTCTTTCCGGATAGCCTTCAGGGTCCCAGCCAGCGCCGCATTGTTTGCTGCTTTGGAACTCTGCATAGTTGACAAAATCCTATAAACCAGTATCTCATATACCAAACATGAAGGAGTACAAAGGAACTAACTAGAAAATCCAAACACTTAGGACACATGAAGCCTCTGAAGCAAAGCCGTGTTGCTGTTTCTTTGAGGGCACTTGCAATCTAAGATACAAGTTTCCCCAAGATGACCCCTTAAATACACGCCCCCCCTCAACTCTCCCCCCATGGACAACCACAACCACTCAAGGGTCCTTGAACTCGCCAGCACGAAACAGTCGGGACCTGTAGGGTTCTTGTCTACCGGATCCCGGCAGAAGCAGAAACTCCACAGACCTAGCCTTTGGCCCCAAGCCTCACCATAAAATCAAAGACCTCCGTTTGCTTTTTCGTCCCCATGAAGTAAAACATACTTCCCGTGATAGATTCCATCTCTAAAACCAACGGGGGAAAAAATCGGCCTTTTTGTTTCAGCCAATGGAGCAATACGCCTTGATCCAAGTCCTCTCCCCCGGTGTCAGCGAGTCCGTTTTCCGGACGTGACGTAGCGAGTCCGGAGACGGGGCCCGGCCCTCACTTGAGCCAGCTCGGTGAGCCGGTCTGCTTCGTATCTGATTGTTGCCGAGGCCAAGACAAGTGACCGAAGGTGATGATCGGCAAGAATGAAGGAAGAAGTCTGCTCTCCCAAGTTCAGAGTCACCATAGCAAGTCTCGACCCTTCGCAATGAAGAGTTGAATCATGGCCCCCAAAATCAACAGTCCAGCAATTCAACAAGGAAGCCGTCATAATCCTAGGGTCTTCGCACATGTTTGAGGCACATTTCACTGAAGCCCGGTCTGCACATTTCTCACCCCCCCGAGCCAAGCGCTCCTTGCGCCGCGGCTTGAGCCTAAGGGGAACAAAGATCGCAAGGAAAGACGTGAAGAGATACCTTGAGCTTCCCTCGAATTGATAGCTTGGATTCGTTCGCTTTGGGGGTTTGATTTAGGGGTGGTTTGGGATCCCTGGAGTGGTGGATTGGTGGAATGAAATTCAGGGATTCATCATTGCTTGCATCGGTGGTTTGGTCTAGGGGTGGCTTCCCATTTACCGTCTACGAGAAGCAGGGGGTTCAAATGGGGTAGCCTGGACGGTGCAGATCGTTGCTAACATCTTCATCTCTAGAACGAGGTGATCGGTGCCAATCCATGGAAGATTGTCTAGGTCCTCCAGCAGAGAGGTTAGAAGAAGTTGGTACCCGATTCTTTTTCTGTAGCCTATTTTGGGAGGGGAACCCTAAGGGGCACTACTGGGGGACCTAGTTGTACAAAGGCGTGTTCAGCATTTCTTTTGAGGCAACTGCGCTGCCAAAACCTGTCATATCTTTGAGCGACCCAGGTATAGCAAGGCTCCCAGGGGTCACGTGCCCATCCTATCCACCGGTACTTGGTTGACGTGGGAAGGGCGGCAAAAAAAAATGAATATCTTAGCAGTTAAGTGGGGATTTTCCCACTAAACCACAATAAGCAAACATGGTAAAACGTCTCCCAGCAACCATGAGAACCCACCAGCTCCAAAATGAGCTGGGAATCCTGTAGGGGCCTTGGCCTGTAAAAGCAATAGACCAATTCCTTCAATGTCAACAAAACGTCAACAGCTCGCGCCTCGTTTTCTCGCAGCTCTGGTGAATTGCGAACATGCCACGAGACCCCAGCCACTTGCGAATAGAAGCACTTGCGAAAAGGGAAAGCAACGAATAACTAACAATCCGAGGAGATCGCTTTGAAGGCTCAGAGAAGCCTGATGATATGGCTCTCTGCGTGCAGCGTGTCAAGCGTCTATAAGTGTGTGTGTGTGTGTGGGTGTGTGGGTGTTGTTGTGTGTGTATGTGTGTATGTGTGTATGTGTGTATGTGTATGTGTGTGTGTGTGTCTGTGTCTGCGTCTGTGTCTGTGTCTGTGTCTGTGTCCGTGTCTCTCTCTCTCTCACTCTCTTGTTTTTGAACAGTGCCAGGGGTCTAAACGCGTGAAGCGCCACCTGCCAGTGGACTGAAGCACCGCCACACCACAACAACACCTCGCGTAGTCACCCGAAATGTCATCGAGTGACTGGGTTGCCTTCATGCTTGCTTCACCACACCTCCAATGTTTAACCTCCTGACGAGAAAGTGCATCGAAATAATGATGGAAATCACCCCCAATTCACAAGTGGCATTGTGTCTGAAAGGGGGGGGGACCCTTCAAATGCGTTTCCCTTTGGAATCCGCCCAAACCCAAAGCCAGCCAACCAGCTTGAGCCCAGGACTCCTGGAAGAACTCCTTGTACTTGCGCAGACGAAAGTCGATACCCTGACATCGGCAGCTGCCCAAAGGACCCAGAAATACAAGGTTAACCTTTTGGGACATTGACTAAAAATGGACTAAAATTCTTGGTTGCTGTTGAGCCCTCTGCAAAAAGTCTAACTTCTTGTGGGTTTAGTGGAAAACCCCTTGATTTCCCAAAAAGTTAAAGTCTAAAGATCCAACCCAATAGCAATCAAGAACTGCAAAACCAGAAGATCAAAAGGTCGGCTTTGGGCAGCCGAGTGTTTGTTGAGGAGTTCAGAGGCCGAGCAATGGGGCCAAAGATTTCCCCGGTAACATCTTCACAGCGATATGGGGCACAAATATGGGGCGTTGGGAAACTTGGAGACATAGGTGTCCTTTTTGGGAAAATAGATGGCCCTGGTAGTTGCTTCAACCACCAGGTAAACCAGGGCCCTCTTTTTTCAACCAAATCAACCAAAAAGGACACCTATGCTTGGAAAGGTTGCCTGGAAGCTCTAAGCTAGCTGGTTACCAACCCAAAAGACTCAACACACGGAATTAGCTATGTATACTCATGCAGATTCCAAACATACAAAGAGTCAAACATCATATCGTATACATCCCAAGCTTGCCGCAACAAAAGAAAAGAGCAATGTTGAGCACTGGACTGACAGGTCAAGCTTGATCGAAACAACACATTCCCAGAATCGGGAAAACAAACATAGAGTACAAGAGGAATTGAACCCTAGCGAAGACTGCTTCGGATTCCCCCAAGAAACTGCATTCACGAGACTGAAAGGTTCACGACCCTCCAAAAAAATCAGGTTGTGCCATGATGCTTTATGTACGTTCACCCAACTGTACCTTCTCAACCCCCCAACATTTTGAACCCACAGATCTAGAAGGAGTAAGATAAAATAAGTACTACCGTTTGTGAATCAAAAGCATGGAAGCCCCTAGAGCGGGTGGGGTGGGCGAGAATGTTGAAACATAGCAGGGTTCTCAGCAAAGAACGAGGGAGTGCCTTCTATAAACCATCCCTTGTAATCTCCTTTTAGAGGGAATTCCCAGGATCATTCCCACCACCGCCTTGATTCCCTGCCGAGAACCGCAAGATACAAAGCAGTCCAAAGAGAAGCCAGTCCCAGCGGTCACTGGATTTCCTCTCCAAAAGTTGCAATTTACAGGTGGCTTCCATGGAAACTGCCACTTTTCGAGGCTCCAAAAAGGGAAATGGAGGAAACCCTGTGTCCAGGAATTCCCAGGACTTGATTCCATAAAGGGGCTTAAAGCTTCGGTGTGCTGTATGCCTTGCCTTGGACTTCTTGAGAAGAAGCGCAAACACATTGCCGAGCTAAAGTTGGCGAGCCAAAGTTGGCGGGCTTCGAGCTTGTTCCTCATTAGCGGTGTTGCATCTTGCCCGAAAACAGAATTCCCAAGGCATCAACACTTGAACAAACAAACTGAATGCGAGTTCCGATTTACCGAATTTACTCTCCTTCGAGCTATCCTCTCATCTTGGCGCTTCATCAGCGGTCGGCCCCAAAGAGCCCGGGGTCCCTTTACCATAAGCGGGAGCGACCGTAACAAGACCTCTCCCATGACAAAGTCTCGTCTAACACGGAACCCCTTCCAAACAGGTTGTTTTGTCCTGCATATGGAGCCTTCGCTTGTTTTTGGCTTGTCTTTTCAGTGCCATGACAGGAATCCACAGACTCCGGCCACTGACAAGTCGATAGACAAGTACCGCGCCGCATCTTGAGTGTTCGGATTCGGGCTTGACTGCAAGGAATTTGGTTGCACGAAAGGTATGTGTTCTAGGTCCTCCAGTAGAGAGGATAGAATAAGGGTACCCTTTTTCCCGTAGTCTATTTTAGTAGGGCAAACCTCCCCCCAACAAAAGGGAGAGAAGGGCACTACGGGGGGACCTAGGATCTCAGCGCTCGAGCGGTTTTCTGGCGCCTCCCACTTCACATCCTCGCAGACGTTGTGCACCGGCAGCGGGGTGGTCGCCCGGAAGAGGCGATACATCGGGAAGTCCGCCACCACCTCGAAGCCGAAAGCGCTCAGAGCAACCCAACTGCATCCGAATCCGCTTGGAACGCTCGTCTTTTTTTGGGAGCGAGTTGGTACGGTGCTTTTTTGTGGGTGGGGGTGGCGTGTTTTTGAGGGGAAACCAAAAGGAACACGGTGTTTGAGGGGAAACCAAAGGACAACCTTTCTCTCTGTTTAGTTGGTAGCTTTCTTGGGGGTTGGATATTGAGGGGAAACCACAGGAACACCATAATTTTGAGGGAGTCACACAAAAAATGACGCACTCATTTCCTACGGCTTCATTGTTGTCCAGTGATTGGGCAACGGTTGGGATAGGGTCGTTTGATTGGCGGTTTGGGGAGTCGAACCTCAGCTCCTTTCTTCAAGCCAGGGAAGCTAGTCTGTGATAGGCAGTCTCTAATATGCTTGCTTTTCCGTTTTTGAGAACCCAGTGCATGTTTGAAGCAGCAAAGGGAAATAGAGCAAAGAGGGCTTTGCCGTTCCTTTTTTATGCCTAAGACTTGGGGAATCCGTCTACCGGTAGTTTCCATGACTCGTCCACGCAATGATCTTGATGGTGCTCAGAGAATGACCCAAGGTGTTGGGAATCGCCTTGGATTCCGTTAAAGGAAACCATAGTAGATGGTTTGTAGGAGTCAGTTTCTCATTCCCTGCTGAGAACCAGCAAGTTATTGTCAAGTGGTCATGGAGATGTGCTGGGTTTTATGTCGGTTCACTCACTTACCTCGTCCCAAAAGTTTTTTGTGTGGCAGCCACTTGATCCGAATCCGACCGTTCAGACTCCACATTGACAACCACGAACAAGTCAGGTACCAAGACTGTGGGAGAGGCACTCTTGGCATTCGCCAGCCACGCCCACAGAGATTTGGGGAGTTACGACATCTCCCCTGCAAGATAAGTAGCACACTGTTCTCAAGCGATCATCGGATCCCACCAAAGACCCTCCTTGCCGCCCAAAATGGAAAGAGGAATCAACCAGAGGAAAATCAGCCAATTTGGTATCACTGCCATTGATCCAGACTGAGCTCACCGGTTTGTGTTCTTGCTCTTTGTGTTCCTTTGTTTTCCTTCTGACCCGAGACATTGAACTTATTGCACGGGGTCTAAGTCTGGCCGGGACAGAAATGCTTGTTTCAATTCCCACCACCCTCGTTCGTGCCGAACCCGGCACGAACACAGGGTTTCAGGTCGCGCGCAAAGCGGCGCAACGCATTTCAGAGTCTTGACTCTCAAGTGGGGGTTGATCAAGAGGTCTCCTTTACATGGGATGGCCGTCAGGGAAACCACAAAGAATGACTTTCACCACTAAATCAGAAAGTTACCCATGGTCTGTTTGGGGCCAGGAATATTACTCCAGCTACAATTCAGACGGAACCGCTCAGATTCCCAAGAGAGACGCTCTCTAGACATGAGTTGCCGGGTTCCACGTACGGAACCTATACACACTTGAAAAACGGGGAACCGGGTGGGGGGGGAGGCATGAGTTTTCATGTGCTTGCCAGCCTTCAAAGAACCCCCAAAAGCCCAAACGGGTGTCTAGTTGTGACCACCTCATGTGACCAGAAAAACCTGCATCTACCATCGAATGCCAGGCTTGTCAAAACATGTTTAATCCAAAGCAATCAATGGAGAAGGATATTGCAACCTTAGAGAAGGAGGGGGATGGGTAAAAGGGTCACCCCGCTCCCCCCCTTCCATGTTTTCTAGTCTTCCCCGGAAAGGGAGGTGGCATAGTGCGGCCTGGAATAATAACCCATCCTATTAGGTGTCACCCACAGAAGTGAACTGGATTGCCAAAGGTGACAACCCCAGCAATCAACGAGTGGGATTATTCATCCGGGGTTAACAGTAGAGACGAAATATATTTATTCATTGGGCTAAAGGGGTTCCTTTCATTACCAAGAGGGAAATGGGAAAGAGCTATGGTCACGCAGGACTTATTCTTTGGTTCCATTTGTCAAGGTGATCATCTTTCGACCCACAGCCAAATGGAATCACTAGGATGGGGGGTGGAGAAGGAGGAAGCTTTCAATCTCACATCTCCGAGATCAGAACCACGTCTTTGCCGCCGGTCACGCACCTTGCAAGGAAAGAGTCAAAGACAACCAGAAGACTGCCCTGCCCACACCACTAAAGCCTTAATTGTGCCATATCATCAAGTATTTGTTTGCCTTATCTTGTTTTTGGCCTCGTATTTTGGGCCTTCTGTGGAATTGTTGGCTTTATTGGTCTTGCTTCACCTTATCTGGCCTTGTTTAGCCTTATTTGGCCTTGTTTGGCCTGATTTGATGTTTTGGCCTTGTTTGTCCGTAATCAGGATTCAAGCCGAGCTCATGTTTTTGGGGAGATCTTTGGAGGGATGCTCTGAAGGATCCTGGGGTATGCAGGTTTGGACTAATCCCGATGCACCCTCCTAACTAGCACACATCTTGCCAAGTACATCAGACCACAACCTTTCAACATGGGCAATTCCTCTCCCCAACATTCCAATTCTTGAAGGGTTAAGGATAACTTCTTTGCACAGGTTCAGGCACCGACTTACTAGCTATCAGGATGCCCAAGGACAACAGCAATCTTCACATTCTAGGTCCTCCAGTAGGGAGCTTAGAATAAGGGTACCCTTGTTTCTGTAGTCTGTTTTAGTAGGGGAACCCTCCCCCAAAAAAGGGTAAAAGGTCACTACTGGGAGACCTAGCATTGGAAGGTTCTGGCAGTCATAAAGAAAGCTGCAGGCGACAGGCCGGGATCTTTTACGCGGCAGGCCGCATACCACAAAACATCCGAAATAACATCTCTAGACAGGGAAGTGCGGGTCCAACAACTAAGGGACAGTAGTTTGAAAGAAGCGAAGTCTCCGTGCAATACGTCACACGATTCCAGACGTATAATCTCGAGCAACTTGCACTATGCCAAAGCACGCAGACAAGAAACAGGCTGCAGCTTGCAAAGATGCGCATGACGAGCTGAAACCACTGCAATCCATCTACGTTCAGCCAACCTGACGGACACCTATCTCGGATGCACGAGGTCGCGAAGTTTAAGCTTCTCAAGATGGAAGCGGGACCCTTTCCCTGATCAGACATCCGTAGGACACCAAAAAACAAGGAAAACCGCCACCGTCAGGGATTCGGAGTAAGGTTTGATCTTGAACACCCCAGTGCACGGGGGGGTTGAGTGCTAAAGATACCAAAGGGACGCGCTAGAAAAGCCCGCATCATAATATGGGTAGGTGTCAAAAACGGGGCACCCAAGAAATAAGAAATGTGCATGTTCCTTTTGGTTTCCCTACCAAACAGCCGGGCAGCGCCGCTCTTTCCGAACACGACAGCAAAACGGGCCAGCAGAGCGTCACCACCTCCACAGAATGCCAGCGGGGGTGTACCTCAAGTGAGCGCCCACGACTGCCCACGACCCAATTGTTGGTTTCTACAAACAGGTTTATAACGGTGTAGTTTGACACTACCACAACCCCAATTGAACGGGTGACCACGGAGGCTGTGTTTCTAGGTTTGTTTGGGCTCTACTACAACCTCAATTAAACCAGGTAGTAGGTGGTGCCGAGCGTTCTCTAGGTGTATTGGGCCACTACTCTAACCCCAAATTAAACCGCGCAGTAGCACCATCTACTCATATATGGCCAACAGAGGCTTTGGGCCCTGCTCAAGTGATCGCCGGATCTGGAGTTCTCGAGCCAAGTACCCACAGGCTGAAAGTAGATGGCACATGTCGCTTCAGGTTAAGTAAATGAGATGACTAAACCAATGTGTGAATTGCACTCTCTGCCTTCATCAAGTGTAAGGTCGTCAAGTTCCCCATGTCGTAGCCAATAATTGCAAGATGATTATTCAACCAACGGACGCACTAATTTGTGCTAGGGCTTGCTTCGAATAATATGGAAAGCTTGTCTGCTTCAATGAACTTGCCCAGTCCATTGCTGGAGGCGACACGGGCTCCGAGCTCATCTTGCTGACGAAAAGCGGAATATGATCATATCCAGTGCATACAATACCCATATCTGCATCTGGTGCTCCAAATCAATCCCATTCCATCTCTTTTTGGAGAATATTTGGAGGTGTCTCAAAATGCTGAACCCCCTTTCGACAGGTGCTGAAGGAAAGCAGAAAAGGAGACCCACGAGTACTTTGTTGCTGTTAATCCCCTTCAAAAAGTTGAGCTTCTTGTGGGCTCAATGGAAAACCCCTGATTTCCCCAAAAAGTTGGGAGTCCAAAGATCCAACCCAGTAGCAATCAAGAATTTAGGAAGCCACCTCCTATTTCGAGAAAGCCCCTCTGGCGATTCGAGTCTGAGCCCACTGCGGGGCCAGCCCAGGTCTGTGGCGCTTCGATGGAGGTGGCAGTGTGTAGCATCCCCGCAAACCTGCGACACGGCGACACGGCGACGAAACGCGGGCCTCATGTGACAGCAGTGGGAAAGTATCAGCTTGTGATAGCAGAGTAGGCCATGCCCATTACATCTTGATTTCAAAGGAGGTCTGCTGCTGCAACCGAAATGTTTGACAAGAATGTGCCCCAAAGGACCCTTGGTACCTTCATCCAGTACCTTTCAAGATACTTAAACCCTCAAAGGACGGGTGATTTCGACCCCGCAGATTCGAAATGAAGCGCTCAAGCGTGTACAAATAACCGAAGTGTCGGATGTTATGCCTGCTGCGCCCTGAAACTTGCAAAGAGCTTCAATGAGAAACAGTGCCGGGCGCTGAGTGTTTCCCTGATGCAACCAGCACAACTCTTCATGATTGGACTAAGGCCCAGTTATAGTATTTTTTTGTTGGTTCCTCTTCCCTTTGAGTTACTGGCAAAATGTAAAATGAATCCTAAGTCTACACAACTCTTGCTGAGCTTCTCTCTGCACCAAGATCTTCCCGCTCGTCAAGTCAATTCTGCTGGCTCGTCCGATCAGCATTCTTCACGCGGCTTTGCTGTGCTGCACGCCGATTTCTGCGATGTGAAACATGGGGCCCGAAGCTGCGGAGTCGGCAAGAGCCGAGGCCATTCAGTCGAACAAAAACAACAAAGTCGGACGTACATGTTTGTTCATATGGAACTGAAAGTAGATTGGAGAAATGCAACGACACATATCGTGGATCCTTGATTCTGGACAAGCATCCGCAAAGGAAAAACAGTTGAGTTGGATAACCTTATGCCTCCTCTTGGCAATTGTGCTCAGGAGGCGCTGCAATGTTCGAACACAACCCGACTACTACATCTGCTCTCGCGGCTTCTTTTATGCCACCTCTGGCCATCCTTCCCTCTTGCCGACTCAGTCGTCTCCAAAGGAAGATGCCCTACTCGGCGCTCGACTGGGCATGTTGGATGGTGCTCGACTGGGCTGATTGGAGGGTGCCGCACTCGGCACGTTGGAAGCCCTCGCTTCCACCGACCGCCGCCGGTCCGCCAGGAACTTCACCTGGCGCTTGGATTCAAGAGGCGATGTCAAGCACTGAGACCAGCCATGGCAAACAGGGGGGCAGCCATAGGTGTCCTTTTTGGCAAAATAGATGGCCCTGGTAGTTGATTCAACCAAATGAACCAACAAGGACACCTATGGGGGTAGCTTCTTGGTGGGTTGCTTTTCAAGTTTTAAAGGACCCCCCCTCCCACAACAACAAACACGCACAGGGCACCACTTGTAGATGCTTGGATTGAGGTCAAGCACCTTGAAACATGAATTTTGGATGTCCTAAGGTCAAATGGGCCCCCAATGCGCAAAGGAAGTACTACAGGGGGGCATGGACAACTGCAAGCAAAAACATTACCGCCTATTCTGACTTGTCATGTCAATGTGAGAACAGGCTACGCCATACCCACCGCTTGCAACGGCTCTGAATCAGCGCGCAGCTTGGCAAAATTGGCATCAACGACTTGGACAACACCTTAAAGCGACGGCTCAAGATGTTCTGATCAAAGTTCCAAGTTCTGATCCGGACTTTGATGGATTTGAGACCAAAGCGATTGGCGTGATAAGGGAACCCTGGCTGATAAAGCCGCACCCTTGCGCTGTAGGGTCCCACATCCTTTGAGCTCCATCGGGAGCCGCTGGTGGGCTATGGCGGGCCATGTCGTTTTGCTTCCTTTAGGATGTTGTTCCATGTCTAAAATCCCAAAGGGACCATCGTGGCACACATACGCCAGCATTGCATTTGGGTGAGGAAACCCGATTTCCTAACATTGGCGAAGGTACCCAGGGTCATCGCGTGGACTACCGTTGATGCTCAATACTGACCGCTCTGAGTGAGTGCCAAAACTATATAGGGAACTTTTGGAAGACGTCTTGCGGAAGGAAAGCTGACACCTCTCATGGACAATGAGGCGCTAGCTTTGACACGCAGCGCAGTGGCCGTGGTAAAACAAAGTTGTAGGCAGCTGCGCAGGTTAGGACTAGTTGAGGCCCCAGAATCAAAGGATGCTGAACACCGGGGCCTAAAAACGGGGGCTGATGTTCCGCCACCCGCTGCTTTTTGGTGACACCCTTACCGTGACAATGCCCAAAAAAAATCGGCACATTGGCCACAAACTCCTGTGGCCCCTAGCTGCTCCCTTCATTGGCGCCCCAGGCCCAAAACCCCAACAGGTTGGTCACCAAAAGGGAGCAGGTGTGTTGACCATGATATACATTTCTGTGCCCGTGTTTGTTGCTATTTCCGGTTTTCCCGTTGGTGTTCAGCTTAAGCACAATCCCACAAAGGATGGCCTCAAACAACCAATTACACCCGAATGCTTGGATAAGCCAGCATGTATTTGATGGTGCCCCTTTTTTGGAGAAAATACCAACTTGATGGTACCCTTTTCTTTTTGTTTTGGGGTTTGGGGGGGGGGGGGGGGTAGTGGAAACCTACTACCACAATACCCAGACCTGTCGGAGTGAGCCAAGCGATGCCTTGACCATGGCTGAGCTCCGGCGACGCTGCATAGCCCTCGAGTTGCGCATGTAAGATGGGCCTATGAGCAGCTTCCTTCCGCAAAGGGGTCCTTCCAAAAGGCGATTGGGTTACGGCAACTAAAACATATCCTTTGCTCCCCACTTCAGCTTCCCTGTAATTCGTGGTTTGGATTGGTGGTTTTGTGGTCAGGGGTGGTTGCCCATTTACCCACAAGAACCAGATCAAATCCAATCCAAACCACCGACCCAACCACCAATTAAGGGATGGCCGACCTTATTCCACCGCAATCGGATACGATATAACAAGGATGTTTTCTTTTGACCAAAATAGTAGTTTGCAAAAAAAGGCAATGTCTGGGTGACATCTATCTCGCTGCCTTGCATGGCCCCACTTGCAAGCTCGGAAAGCAGGGCTGCGTTTTCATGATTCTCCGTGAAGCTAAAGCAAAAGGGATCAGAGGCGGTCATTCTCCGCTTAAAATTGTAGTTGCCCCGTTGTTTTCCCCTTATGCATACCCTCCCACCAAACATGGCTTGCATGTCCTGCCCCAAGACAAAGCTCTTGAATCGGCGGGGGTGGTTGATCAAGCTTTGAAGATTTACTTGCGGAACAGCAAGCCAAGCGAATTCGACTGTTTCAATCTAAGCCCAAACCCGCGGTTGCCATGGAAAACAGGGCACCCATTGTCGGTAGTAGATTTCAATGAGACCCCCTTCCCAAAAACGGAAACAACGGGCACCACTGGTGTCTGGGTAAACCGAAGGTTGGTAGGAGCAGCTTTTTGACTAGCTGTTGAAAATAAGACCTGGACATGCCCGGACTTTCGGCTTCAGCAGCAGCTTGACTAGAAATTGATGGGATCTTCTGTTCGGGCATTGGGAGGGCCAAATAGCAAACCAGGAGTTGGCAAGCATCTTGCCAACTTCAGTTTCTTCTTTGATCATTCCTTTGGATTTATTCCACATTCTATTTTGCCCCTTGGCCAAGCCAAACAAGAGCTGGCTGGCCCGCCGTGCAGGCCAAATGAAACATCGTAGTTGCGGCCCTCTAAACATGCTAAGTATGTGTTTTGCTTTGAGGCCGCTCATGTTCAACCTGTTTGGGTCTTTCCCCACTGCAAATTAACATGGAACCAAACAAGTCGGTCCCAAAAAAAAAGACTCTACATATGTTGGTTTGGTTCCGTCTCTGCAAACACACTGGTCGACTCCAGCGGGGAAATACATGTTCAAGAATAGGAAGCCCGGATTAAGAAACCCGTCAATACGGAGTGTCACCCACAAAAGTGATCCGGGTTCCCACTAAAAAGGGCACACCCCCGATCAAGTTCAACCATAGGCTTGCTGCCCAAACACTTGACAGGGTCAATCCGGTCACGAGCCTTGGGTCTTCCGATCTGCCAGGCCCGGGGATCCCCAAAAGCATCCGCTTTTCGCGTTCCCCGGGGCCCCGCGCTGGCGCCCCACTTCGGCGCGCTTCCGCTGCAGCTCCGCAACCTCCGCTGCACCGCTTCGCACCGGAAGATTGCGGACAAGGGGGCGGGGGCGGGGAGGGCGGGAACTGAGGCATACCGTGTTCTTTTCTTTAGAACGTCAACGGGTGGAATCACTGAAGGATATTATGGTTTTAGGGTACAATGTTGGCGAAGTTGAAACCACCAAGCAGCTGATTCAAAGGGTGTTGGTGGATGCAACGCGTGAATTCAAGTTACATCTATTCAGCGACCCTGTCACGTAGCAAAGGCTGGTTCCCTCATCAAATATGATTCTAACCAGCTGAGGCTGAGGTCAAACGTCCCTTCAAAGCTGGCACCACCCTTTAAACTTTAAACAAGACACACCCATTTGAGCAACGGACGGTTGGATGGGCGGGCTTAGCTTTATCGTTCACACTGGTTGTTCATGGTCATTTTGTCGGGCCTTCATATCTCCAACCTATAAACATTGGCCAAGCCGCAAACCCAATCATGGGCAACATGTTGAATCCACTGGACATGTTCCAAGAACCTCTGCAAGAGCCGGTTTCCTGCTGGTGTCCCTTGAAAGTCACCTCAAAAAATGGATACCATCCAAAAAAGACAGATTTAGACAACATGTGACGAAAGGCAACCACACAGCTGGTAGGCTTCGACTGGCTTGCCGCGCCTAGCATAAGGCTCCTTGCTTCAGCGCGGATTGCACTGAAAGAAAGTGACAGTTGTGGGGAATGGATTGCCTGAGACCTGCAGATACTCAACACCCCCGGGGAAATGTCAAGTTGGGGGTCCACAAAATGGGTTGGTCCCCTGAACAGCTAAGCCTCAAGAAGCACAGCACGACTCGCCATTCCTTTGGGTGTCCCGCGTTGATGTCGGTGCCCAGCCGCTTGGCGGCTTTCATGATCGACTTCATCCTTTGCTCAAGCCGTGGAACATCCGAATCCCAGTTGCGATTCAGGAAAGAAAAGGATCTCCATGGGGAACAAAAAGTGGCGCCTTGCAGTTGTTCTTGAGCATGGTTGCGCTTGCTTTAAAACCCCGCTTTCCGTGATACCAGTGTCAGCTATCGAGAGACTAACTTCGATTGAAAGGGACTTTGTTGGGTATCGCAGAATGCGGCAACCTAAAGGCTCCATATTCTTCTCAGAACCATGCTGGCCCCATAAGAGCCAATTCCAGCGATATCGAAGCTGTGGATGGCCATGCGTCTTCACTTCACTAGACTCAAACCACCACATTCAAGTCTCTTTCGGAAAAACTGGAAACCCCAAGCTTTCACAATGTGTCAAATAGGGGGCCCCAAATAAGTAGCGGAAATTGGGAACCCCCCCGCCCCGACATAGGCAAACCCCCTCATTTCGCATGTCTCCCAAAGTGTCGTAGCGGTTTTCATGGTGTCCCTTACCAAGGGAACCCTCAATGAGCCGAGAGGTTTCCATTGACTGAATGGACCCAGGGTACTTGTCCATAGGGTTTGTCCCCTGCAGCTTCAGCCAAAGGCTCAACATGCTTGGAGACAAACAACAACAAAAAACAAGAAAACTGAAGACCCACTAGGTCCTCCAGTAGAGAGGTTAGCATAAGGGTACCGTTTTCTCTGTAGTCTACTAAAATAGGGGAACCCTCCCCTAAAAAAAGGGTAAAAGGGCGCTACTGGGGGACCTAGCCCAAGTCCGCCCTTGCAAATCAGCATGGAACCCACAAAGGGTTCCTCTAGAAATGCCCAGGTTTTGGCTTCCTTCCGCTCAGAGCACATCCTCACACCCATGGCCATGGGTATCCATACATCTGAACGCGAACCCCTCTCCCAAAAAAACATGAAACAACAGGGGTCACTGTAGTTCCCCCAAAACAACAGTTGATTTGCTTTTCATGGGCACCGCCACTTCTGGAGGTTCCCAACAAGGGAAATGAGTCATAATCAAAAACCTAGAATTAGAATGGACAACCGAGAACATCCAGAACCATGCAAAGAATTCAAGAAAGAGGTGGTCGCACCCATTCATGGGATTCCCTACTGGCCAGGTTTGTATTGTGACTCAAACGGGTGCGGGCTAAAAAATGGCTAACCCCAAAATGGGTTGCCCTGGTAAATGGAACCAAGGACCAAAACCTGCGGTCCATATCGTGTTTTGATATTGACCCATACCTGAAAAAATCCTTTGCATGGGATGACCCTTGGCTGGAAAACCACGCAATTAAAAAAAAAAAAAAAACAATATTTCAACTACATGGGAAAAGTTACTCATGGTCAAAACTGGTTAACCCCCAAATGCACACCCTTGGTGTGCTAGCAAAAGGCTGACTGCTCTTTGCAGCCCCCCATTAACAATGAACAGAACCAAACAACCACTGAACACCCGATCCAACGGTAAAACATCGTATATGTGACTGTTTGTTCTAACTAAACACATGATCCCACCACCACAACCGCTTGAGAACGGCGAAAAGGCAACCCCCCACGGTGTCTTCGACTCAGCGTGCGCCAAGCGTCGTCTCCAAGCGGTGCCCGGCCGGGTGACCCAGGCCAGCTTTGCCTTGAAATCGAATCAGCGGATTCGACAAAGGCGTGTTGGGACGGGGGATGCGCCAACTTTGGGTATTTGTGTTGGGATTTGTTTGGGAATTTTAGGGGAGAAGCGCCAACTTTGGGTGTCATTTGGGATTGGTTTAGGAGTTTTGGAGGTTCGCCAACTTTGGGGAATGGAGGGAAACGTGTTTTGTGCACATAAGTTGAACCCTTTGCCTTTTGCAGGTGCAGAGGGGCGGTTCCTATGGCACGTACTTCTGGTCTTGAATATCAAACTGGAGAACAGAACAGTGATGCTTGATCCGGCGGAGCAACATAAAATCAAAAGAAAAAACATGCAGTGCCCCAGGATATGGCCCTAGGTCAAATCATGCCGCAAAGCTTCTCAAGGGAGGCCGGTTAAAAGGAATTCCATCAAGCAACCTGGCGTTCCTTCGCTCCTCAAATCGTGGGGGGAAGGACCCCGAACAACAAAACCGACCGGACCAAGGGCACACATGACTCTTGCTTCTCCGAATATTTAGGTTCTGGCATTTGGGTTGTGGCATCTGTATACATATATATATATAGGCCTAGATTCAAAGCGCAGAGAAGGTCTGCCGTGGCCTGTCGAGAGTCTGTCATGAATCACTGAGCCAAACCCCCTGAAAATAGAAGGCTCAACTCTCCTGCCTTTGGCTTTTGGTATTCCTCAAAGGTTGAAAGGTTGATCTTTGGCCCAAGCAAATGAGGGAACTTTTGCATGCCTGCAGGCCGAACACCTCACCTCACCCGATGCTTGCAATCCACACGCTGTGCTGCTTGCTGCAGAGCTTTTTTTAGGGCAGCAAGTCTCTCAACAAATGCGTCTCTGTGTAAATTTGGATTAGACACACATGGGTTCTCTGCTGAAGGTTACTCATGCCTGACACAAGCCCTTTAAGGTCAAACAGATTGAGGTAGACTTCTGAAGAACCAGCCCTCCTGCCCAAGTTTTGTTTGAACACAAGCCAGCCAAGAAGGACACGTAGCATACACAAGCATCTGCTGGGCCAGGGGATGTCCACTGACCTTCGAACGCTGTAAGGTTTCAACTTGAGACACCCTCCTGTAAACATTGCCATGGAGCCTGACTGAAAGGTCATGGAAGACAAATTTCAATCCCAACCCTCTGGTGGGTTGCACGTTGGTGGACAGGAGGGCGCCCAAAATCATCATCCACGCCTTGAGCAAACCCCGCTCAGACCGGCTCGCTTTGTTGCCAGGACACCCCCAAAATGGTCTTTTGGCTTTCCTTTGAAGTAGTCAACAAAAAATACCCCGACACAAAGACACACGCCACAAACCACCCCAAGGTCAGCGGATCGCGCCTTCTGAGGCCTCTGAGGCTGCGGATGCCATGGCGCTGACAACCTGCGCAGAAACAAAAAAGCGCTGTGAAGGCGTAGAAAAGAAGAAAAAGAAGAAGAACCAAAAAACAAAAACGCGAACTCAGCTTGCCCCCCAACCAAAATGGGTGGCTCTCAAATAGGGAACGGGAACGTCCCTCTCGGACGGTTTTTTTTCCGGGCAACGGGAGGAAAGCATCCACCCCAATGGTGAACGAAGTAGACACGGGTGCCGCAAAGGATTCTGCCCGCTACGTGCTGAAACTAAAGCTAACGAAATGGTTCCACAGACATTCTGGACCACTGGAATCTGCAGTTGAGGGAGCTTCATCCTAAATGGGCATCCAACAGGGCCAGGGCCCACTGGACATTTCATCGTCCATTGGAACTGCCACTTTTGGAGGTTCCAGAAATGGACGAAGCCCTGATCAAAATTGGCGAAATCAGAGTCGTGCTGCCCTGAAAAACGGCTATGGTAGCGGGAAACCGTGGCTTTAAAGTGGCTGCTAACTATACTGAAAGCTAGTTGTCCTGGATAAGCAGCACAAAATGGGAGATGGGTGGCCCGAAAGCAACAGCAGCGAGCGGCGGCAGCTGACACTTGTTTGCTTGCTGCGGCCTTGCGCAACTAAGCGTGTCAGCAAGTTTCCTAGGCAAGCTTCTATGAACAAGCTCTCTGAGCAAGTGCAAGTTCTCTGTGCGCAGCGCTGACCACAACACAGCAGCCTTTTGACGCGAGTACAATTGTCGATCCGGACCTGTGAAAGTGTGCTTCGCGCCATACTTTGGTAGCTACAGTTTGCGATCTGCCAGCCGGAGCCAACTGAAAGTCTACTTTCCGTACTCCTTGTGGTTCAACTGGAGCTGCGAAAGTGTAATTGAAAGTTGCGATTGTTCAGATGAAACTCCCAGAAAGCGCACTTCGCGAAATACTTTCGCACTACTGACTTTCAGCGATTCGAGCCTGGGGCTGCTCGCATCTAAAAGCAGGTGCGCAAACCACTAGACGAACTTTCAAGCCCACGTTTTGACTAGAAAAAAACTTAGGGTGCGGATTTATTTTGGGATTTTTTTTAGTTTTTTTTTTGTTTTTTTTTTTTTCGTTTTTCGTCCGAGCCAGCAAAATGTCGTATTTTACAGCATTTTCTAGCAAAATTGACGCATTATACACTAGCTCGTCAACATCCCCAGCATCGTTTTCCCCCGCATGTCCGACCAACATCCCTAGCATCACCAACAAATCGTGGGTAACAAAATCCAAAAATGTAGCTGGCGGGTTGACGGGGTCAAAACAATAACGCTTCAAACAGGAGGGCATTTCAATCCCAGCAAAAAAAAAATACCAAAAAACAATTAAGAAAAACAGAGCGGGGTAGTGATGATTCGAACAGGGGTGCAATTAAATCTCTGCAAAAAGTCTAAAAAGTAGCGGGGGGGTTGGGGGGGGCGGCAGCCCCCCCCATGATGTTCGAAGAATTGATGATTCAACTAGGGGTGCAATTAATTAAATCTCTGTAGAAAATCTAAAACGTAGCGGGGGGGTTGGGGGGGGGCGGCAGCCCCCCCATGATGTCGGAAGAAGTGGTGATTCAAGTAGGGGTGCAATGATTCAAGAAAGGGTGTGATAGAATTTAACAGGCAGCGGGAGGGTTGGCGGGGGTGGCTTCCCCTATGGTGTTCGAAGAAATGCATACATACAGACATACACGGACTACACAGATTACCTAAAATGTCGTATTTTGCAGCATTTTCTCGCGAAATTGGACGCTCGAAAAAGTGATGATTCAAACAGGGGTGCAATTCAATCTCTGCCGGGCCAGTAAAGTGTCGTATTTTACAGCATGTTCTCGCGAAATATACCCGCATGTCCCACCAACATCCCTAGCATCACCAACAAATCGTGTGACGGGGTCAAAGAAATGATGATTCAAGTAGGAGGCCATGTCAATCCCTGTAAAAAATATATAAAAAGTAGCGGGGGGGTTGGGGGGGGGGCGGCAGCCCCCCCCACGATGTTGTTTGCAGAAGTGATGATTTGAATAGGGGTGCAATTAAATCTCTGCAAAAAGTCTAAAAAGTAGCGGGGGGGTTGGGAGGGGCGGCAGCCCCCCCCCATGATGTTCGAAGAATTGATGATTCAACTAGGGGTGCATCTCTGTAGAAAATCTAAACGTAGCGGGGGGGTTGGGGGGGGCGGCAGCCCCCCCCATGATGTCGGAAGAAGTGGTGATTCAAGCAGGGGTGCAATGATTCAAGAAAGGGTGTGATAGAATTTACAAGGCAGCGGGAGGGTTGGCGGGGGTGGCTTCCCCTATGATGTTCGAAGAAATGCATACATACAAACATACACGGACTACACAGATTACCTAAAAAGTCGTATTTTGCAGCATTTTCTCGCGAAATTGGACGCTCGAAAAAGTGATGATTCAAACAGGGGTGCAATTCAATCTCTGCCGGGCCAGTAAAGTGTCGTATTTTACAGCATGTTCTCGCGAAATATACCCCGCATGTCCCACCAACATCCCTAGCATCACCAACAAATCGTGTGACGGGGTCAAAGAAATGATGATTCAAGTAGGAGGCCATGTCAATCCCTGTAAAAAATATATAAAAAGTAGCGGGGGGGTTAAGGCCGCCCCCCCATGATGGTCGAAGAATTGATGATTCAACTAGGGGTGCAACCCCCCCATGATGTTCGAAGAATTGATGATTCAAGTAGGGGTGCAACTAATTAAATCTCTGCAGAAAATCTAAAACGTAGCGGGGGGGTTGGGGGGGGCGGCAGCCCCCCCCATGATGTCGGAAAAAAGCCACCTGCCGAAGAGGAACTGGGAATGCAGAGGATGCGAAAAGCCAAAAAGCCACCAAAAGCCGCATAAACCAGCAAAAAGCCGAAAAGCCTAGAAGCCCAGAAGCCGAGAAGCCAAGAAGCCGAAAAGCCAAGAAGCCAAGAAGCCAAGAAGCCAAGAAGCCAAGAAGCCAAAAAGCCAAAAAGCCAAAAAGCCAAGAAGCCCAGAAGCCGAGAAGCCGAGAAGCCAAGAAGCCAAGAAGCCGAGAAGCCAAGAAGCCGAGAAGCCAAGAAGCCGAGAAGCCAAGAAGCCAAGAAGCCAAGAAGCCAAGAAGCCAAGAAGCCAAAAGCGAAGAAGCCAAAAGCGAAAAAAATCCCAAAAAAAAACGAAAACAATTCCTAAAATAAATACCCCTCCAAAAATTTAAGTGTTTATACCATGTCGCACGGTCAACCACGCCAATCTCCGCAGTGGGCCGCGCGCGAACCGCAAACAAGTATGAAACACCTTCAGATTGTCCACATCGACCACGCAATATCGCAGGGGTCGCGCGGGCACCGCAGAAATCGTTTGTTTGTTGACATATATAGACCACGCCGATCACTCGGGAGCAGAAGAAATCGCAAAAAGTTCTGAGTTCGTTCGCATCGACCACGCCACTCCGCGCAAAGGGACGATCCGCGAATCGCAAAAGTCGGTAAAATCGACCACCCCCCATCCCTGCAAAGGATTTCGCCAGAATCTCAGAAATCGTAAACAGTCCCCACTTCAATGCCCGCAGAGGGTCGACTTTCTGGTATTCCTTTCAGGTTGGCTTACAACGGAAACCTTCCAGGGACACCGCGATCTTTTGGGGGTTCCCTATTTGGACTCACGTACCTTCACTTCCTGAGTGGATTGGTCAGAAAAAGGAAAACCAAACTTTTGGTTTACTGCTAAATTGCTCTTATAAAGTGGAACTCAGGGAGTGAAGATGCCCATCTTACTTGCCCGAAGTACCTAAAATTAAAGGTGAACCTTTGGGGGCCATGACCAAAAGTGAACCAAAATAGGAAAGCCCAAAGGTCAAAGGCTCGGCTTTGGACACGTGAGCCATAGGCTGAGACTCCCAGTTCTAAGCCGCTCATCCAGCGCAGTGTTTCTTTCTTGAGCCCCCGGCGGCCAATTCTTTGCGCGCGACCTGCAAGGCCCAGATGGTGGAGCGGGTGCTCAGCACATTCGAACCTATTGGATTGATGCTAACCCCGGATTAATAAGCCCCGGTTTATAAATATGGGGTGTTCCCCTCCAAAAAGGGACAAATCCCCACTAAAACCAGGGACACCCCCATATTAATAAACAGGGGTCTATTCATCCGGGGTCCACATTAGCAAGGAATAGGTGGGACTCCATTGGTTCCTATTGGAATTCGTTGCTTTGCCCCTTCCAACCAATGGCTTCTCAGTAAACCATAACTTTGCAAGCGAAAATAGTTCCTCAAAGACGGATTGCGGCTTTCCAAGACGGTGTCCCCGCAACGACCAGCCTAGATTCAAACACACACGCACAGATCGACATGGTTGAAGACCACCTTCCAGCCCAGACTGTAAAAGCTTTGTTTGTCGATTCTGTTGTGCTTTCTTTTTCAGAGGTCTCCGAACTTTGGCTTTCAGGGGTATAGATTTGCCCCTGTCGCAGATTGGGACCCAAACACCAATCATTCCCTTTGTTTGTTGTGAACAGTTGTTCGGGATTCTGCGTCAGTTTGCCTAGTACTCTGCGGGCCAGGATTTCCGGTACTTCCCCTCTGAACATCACAGCGAAAGGCATCTCTCCCTAGCTGATGCTAACCCACTAAAAAGAACATCAAATCCCCACTACCTTGGGTGCCCAATTCCATTTCTGCCCGAGCAACAGTGGAAGTATGAACGGAACACCTCCATTTCCATGGGGGGAGGTGCCTGCCTTCTAGTTCCAACAGAAGGGCCTCACAGTGTCCTACTGGGCCCCTGGAGGACACTACCAACAGCTTCCTGTTATCTTGCCAGCACGGGGCCCATGGGTCCGGAATTCACCCTTGTTCTCTTCTCTTGCTTGGTTGAGTGACTTGCCATGATTGTAAAAGTCAGGACAACTCTAATATGCTGATTACGCTTGGGCATCAGAATGAAGCCATCTCGCGCACGCAAAGGGCTGATGTTGATAAGGCCCTGCACCTCAGTCGAAGATTTGTTAACAGACTGCCCACACTCACATGAAAAGCACCCTACACCTGTCAATTCTGCCACGCACCCTTCATGGAGTCGGCATGATATCAAAATCCCAGAGCAAAGGCTGGTTGATTTGCCTGAGACAAGCCAAAACCAAAAATCTAGAGGGGCGAGTTCGCTGGAAGCCGACTCAGTCCTCATCAAACAGGAGGCAACATGTGGCGGGTCTCATGAAACCCGACTGTTTCCAGCGAGACTGCCATGAGTTCATTCGTGCAAGTTTGTTCTTGGACTTGGCACTTTCGCAGCCCGCACAACAAGCTCAAGGGGACATGACATATCCCCTTTCATTGACGTGCGCAGAGTCATTTCATCAAATTGTCTGTCTTTCCTTGGTTTCCTGGGTTTAAAGGGAAACCAGAGGAAAACCACCAAGTTTATTTCTTCTTCTTTTTGGGAGGACACCCCCCAAAAAAAAAACTAGACCCACCTCTTGGCCGCTGAACTCCGCCCGTGCGAGTGACTGGCCTTCTGGAACCGACTGCGCAGAGAGAGCCCGGGCGGTGCACTGAGGGATCTCCTCAGCCGAGTGGGCCCATGGCATCCAAGCGCCGGAAAAATCTGAGCCCGTTCTCAGATCCCCCGCTGAAAGTGACGAACTTTTAGTGGGTTAAATGGAAACTGCCATTAAACACTAAATTTATGAAAGGCTAAGGAACCGGATGGCTGGGAGCCACCAAGAAATATGGGTGATACAAAACTCACCACCAAAGAAAAAAACAAGCAGGTGTTAGTCCGGGTTTCCATTTACCCGGATTCGCCGATGTTTGACCCACACCCATACGCCCTGAGGATTCAAACCATTACAACCATGGGGCTTAATACAACCACCATTATTTACTGGATAGTCAGCCATCCTTTTCATGCGGAGATGAAGCCCAAAATATAAGCAGGTGAATTTCTACGGCCTCCCCCGTATTTGGGGGTTGATCAATATTCCTGGCCCCAAACTGACCATGGGTAGGTTATCCCATTTAGTGATGAAAGTCACTTGGTGGTTTCCCTAATGGTCATCCCATGTAAAGGACTTTTTGATCAACCCCCATGTATCAACCAGGGCTTTGTGTTCATCTGAAATCGACATTTATGGGGTGAACTCACTACAGGACAGGAAAAGAAGTGGTCTCGTAGCGTTCTTTTACTCCCCTAGTTTATTGGAGCACCAACGCGAAGGCGACCTTTGCAACTCCTGGACAAACCCTCTGACAATTCCTCTGAAGAGGAATTGTAGCAAACAAGCCGGTCACACATCGAAACAAGCTATGTCATGTGAACTGGCGTTGCGCTGCCTAGGCATTTCAAACTTGTCTGCATGCAGAACCAACCACGGCGAGTGCACGCAGCAACCAGCGGATGCAACATAGGGGACGGCATGTTTTGGCACGGGGCAGCAGGCCCTCTCTCAGAATGGCGAGCTCGACGAGACATGCACGCGACTGAGGACTGCTGGTTTGATTGAGACCAAAACTTGGTTGCTTTCTGCTCCCTTGCTAATAGTGCATTTTTTTAATGAAAAACCCGTGAGTTGGCAAAAAGTTAAAGTCCTAACATCCAAGCAAAATGCAACAAAGAAAACATAGGGCGTGCCAACAGCATCATGAGTGACCACATGTGTCGCGTCATGTCACCAGCGTCAAGCAATGCAAGACTCGCGCCGCGTGGCAGAAACATAGGAGTAAAACTGTGGAGAACCCCGTGGGCAACCCATGTACATCTCGCACGCTCGCTAGGTTCTTGGAAATCTCTTGGCTCTTCAACGCTGCGGACAACCGGATGAGCAGCCAGCATGTGGCGTGCATGTGACTAATTAGCGCAGCTTCAAGAGCAAAAACTCCTGCTTGCGCCCCTCGAGCAACCTTTCGACACTGCAAGTAATACAGTTTGTTCGTCACGGATGCCTTGAGTCTTGTGTGACCTTGCAAATGTGCTTGTTGCTGACCGAATGAGGATATACATTCCTGCAAGCACTTGCAACGGAGCAGAGCAACGACCTCTCGCCGGCAAAGCTCCTCTCGGCCAAACTAGCGGCAGCCGTATCCTGGCGCAAGAAGTGCCGGGGCTTCTGGGACCCGCAGCATGGCGGCATCATGGCTTTCCTGCTCACTTCATGATGAACCAACCTCAAAAGGATAGTAGTGGCCTCACAACAAACAAAGAAACAAAGAAACAAACAAACAAACACAAATGATAAGACAAACTTAAAATATGGTAGTGGCCTCAGAACAAACAAACAGAAATGCAAAGAAGCACACAAACAAGGAAACAAGCAAAGACGGCTCATACATGATCTTGAAAGGCTTCCTGCAGGTTTCCGCTTTGCAAAGGGTGTTGAGAAGGTATACAGCAAACATATTTTGTCAAAAGCCACAATACCCGTCCGAAACAAAAGAGGCGACTGGTTCGAAAGGGCAGCATTGGGTGTTCTACTTTGGCCCCCTCCAGTCCAAAATCAATCCAGTAACAACCTGGGATGCATTCAGCTGGGGTCTACATCTTCAAGCTCTTGACAAAGACGTGTGACTTGTGCCCGTTATAAAAGCGGAAAGTCAGAGACGACTTTTGCACCCAGCCCCTAGCCATGGGCACAAAACCTGGCCCGGTGCCCAGGCTTGGGTCCGGGATCCGGGACCCCAAGTTGTCTAAAAGCTGCTTGGGTTTTTCGTAGGGAGATCGCTTGGGACCTTCAAGACTTGGGACCGGGCTGGACCCAGCTTGTCATAGAAAACACGATGCCATTTAACCCATTTAACCCATTTAACCCATTTAACCCTAAAAAGAAATGATTTGGAAGAAAAGGGGACAAGAAGCAGGGGTTCTCACCCCAAGCTCATTTTCAGGTCCCGCGGTGCAACCACAAAGAAAAACTCCGGGTTCTTGTCTCTTTCGAGGGTGCCCCTTTTGGACTTACAGGGAACACCACAGGCCTCGTGGGCTGTTCGGCCAGGACACCAAATCCTTATCTACTGAGAACGCAAAACTTTACTCGTGGCTCCTGGTTGATTTTGATCTCCCTTTTCAGAGCTTCAGATCACTTGCGGCTTTCTTGGGGTCACAAATGGGCGTGCCCTTTTTTTTTCTTTCCGGGAGCCCCCCGAAATGCCTGGATCCTTAATTTTCCTATGGGTGTCCCAACTAAAAACCACCAAACAACGGGTACCAAGCCCCAAAACATGACGAGCCACACATAACCTCGGTTGCTTTCTGCTTCCCTGCTAAAAGTTTAACGTTTAGTGGTTTAATGCAAACCCCCATTAGTTGGCAAAAAGCTGAAGTCCGAACATCCAAGCAAAACTCAGTTGTTCAGTGACCCTGAAAAACAGGGAACCCTTTTTGGGGCAGACCATTTTAGTGGGGCAGCCACCAAGAAAAAAAGGGGAGAAAGAATTGGTGCTACTGAAGAACTGAGAAAATGCACCAAAGCAACGGGAAGGACGCCTCTTCAGCTCCGCTCTCGGTCGCCTGGAAGCTCCGGCGCCGGGCTTCGCGCTCCGCCTTGTTCCAGCCCTCCGTGGGCACTTCTGCGCAGCCCTGCGCAACGGCTCTTGGCATCGAGTTTCTTGAAAGCAGAGGGCGAAGTAGATGGAACCATGCCATTTCTGTGGATTGATGACACCATTGCTGACATCTTGAAAGGCAGGGTGTAGATTCTAGGGGTTGACTCTGGTTAAATGGCTTGACAGGTTTTTCTGGTGGTTCACCTGTAAACCAAGCAACCCAAAGGTCTAGGGGTTCATTCCTTTTTCATTATTTTCAACCATCGTTCTTCTCAAAAACCAGCTGTTTCCCCAAAGTGTTGGGTGGCTTTTTGGAAAGCAGGATCCCTGGAAAGAATGGGGAAGGTACCCTAGATAGATGGAACAACTCCATTTTCGTAAGTGGATTGATGACACCATCGATGACACTATTCCACTTGTGTGGGTAAGTGTATGATTGATGACACTCTTTCACTTATGTGGGGAAGGGAATGATTGATGGCACCCTGCCCCTTATGTGAGGTCATGATTGATGACACCATGCAACTTCGGTGGGTAAGGATGACAAAGCCGGAATCGGGGCCGCTGTGGGTCTGGAGCAGGGGTTGGCGTGGGGGTTCGAATACGGAACCCATATGTCTTGCAGCGTATGGAATTCAGAACACGGCTTCCAACATACATAATACTGAATATGCTGTGGCAGACAACAGAGTGCACAGTGCAAATTTGTTGTAACTGGCGTAAACACCCGTTGCGTAACATCAATTATTGCAATGCTTAAGGGAGGCACATGACTAAGAAACCCCACTCCCAGAGGGGTCTTTTGGCCAAACCTTGTGGGGGCCTTTAAAGTGGCTATCGGGCGTCGGCTGGAAACATCGCGGCGTCTGTAATGAGAGGGGTTTGTAATTCATGTGCGGACACCAAGTTGATGCGGCACGGCTCGCGCATGTCATGCGGCATCTCCGTTTCCAACGCCGCCGACTCCAGAACTGTTGGTAGAGTCTGAGAGGTCCTGAGTTGCCCTGGCCGATGTTTTGCCAGGGAGATAACAAGGTCGGTTTGTCAAACATGATTTGTAAAACCCTGCGATGCGGAAAAAACAAAAAAAACGAACAAATGTGCAGTAAACCCTGTCCTGTGCAAAAGCCCCTGAAATCATGGGGTTGAACCCTGAAACCATCAAACAAACATAGATACATCCTGTGGCACCCTAAAATCCCGTGTTTCAACCGTGAAATGATGGACACCCTGAACACATGGGGAAGCTTTGAGCATGCGGAACTGATTCGGAAGGCGCCTGTAGGGCTTCCTGCATCTCATCCCAAGCCCTGACGCGCTCGGTTGGGGCCGGAGTCAGCGGAAACAAAATTGGATGCCCTAAACTACTTGGTCGACGTTGGAAGGGCAGCAAAAAAGCAAAATCAAATCTTAGTAGTTAAGTAGGGATTTGAACCACTAAACTCCACAATACGCAAAAATGTAAAATTTGTGTCCCAACAACCACGAACCATGGGTGATTTCCCAAAACAATGTTTGAGGGGAATCTTCTCAGACTGGCTCCTTTTTTATGATTTGGATTCAGGAAGGTGTCCAGAGGGTGCAAAAACGCTGGGGATACCTTGGTTTGGAAAACTGAAAGGACACCTCTCGGGGCTCGATTTTGCAACACATGCACGGCTGGATATTGACTAGTATCCACATACAGCGGGTTCCTGTACAAACCCGGGGAAGTCACGTAACCTACAGCGGTACTGGACAAAATCCACGCCGATTGGCACCAATTTGCTGGTTGATCACAGTAATTGTTCATAGGGGTTCGCTGTTTCAGTATCCATCCTAGCTGCTGCAGATTGTTTGTACATAGAAGCATAAGCACATGTTGGTGAACACGCTGCTGAGTTAAATGGAGTTGCACTGGGTTCAGTAAGGGTGATGAAACCTGTGTCACCTCTCCAAAACGGGAAACGGAATTTGGTCTTTCGATTCACCTTCTCTCTGTTCCTGGGCGCGGCAGTTTTGGAGCCCATTGTTGGATGTGGCACATGGCGGACGTGGTAGCTCACCCATGTAGGTGTGAGGGTTGCAACTATGACAGGTCGTGTGGATGTCCAACCTTGCAATAGTTCATAACTAATGCTCAGGAATGCCCATAGCTATGATAGTTATGCTCCTGGTTATAGGACATGAAAGGGATTGGCAAACACATAGGCCGATCCTTTTGGGGACCCTTTTCGTTTCCTTGTGTGTTGCCATCAAAAAGGGGTCCCCCAAACAATCACCACTCTTGTCATGCCCCACACAATGCTCAACGGACTCATGTGGTTCGCAACTCCATGTTTGTGCGAACCAAACGGCTGCTAACTGGTGCGTGATCACTCAAACATGTTGTACTTAATCAAGCCAAATTTAATAGGTACAAGTTACAAGTGCCAGCGCGATACAGCCTCTGCCTCTCGTCTTTTGGCTACCCTGGTATGGTTGACTTGGACAAGGTGCCTGGGGCTCGGAGAATGTATTTTTATATTGTGGACGAAAAGACATCCTGCTCCACTTGGGAAAGATGAAACCCCATAAAGAATGCGATAAATGCTGGTGCTGTATGGCTGATGTTCAGAGCAAACGTGGAAGGGAACCTTCTGGTGAACTGCTTGTCGGGAGACAACCAGCAGAAAACCGTCGTGATTCCAACGGGAGACTGGACATTAAATCATGATGAAGCGGGAACACAGCTGTTTCTGTCATACTTGTTCGTAATGAATTTTATTCTACTGCCTTGAAATGGTCAGCATGTTGATCAAGAAATCCTACGGGTATGTATTCCTCCACTCGGCAAACCGCCCTCTGATGCGGCAAAGAACGGCACAAAGACGAAAGGATGCCTTTCAGCTGTTTGGGGCCACTACAGATGTTGTTCAAATGCTTTCTGGACCTTTTTATTCAGTTCACACCCGCATTTCAGCATTGTATGATGATGCTGCCTTGCAGCCTGAGTTGGCTAGTCAAGGCGCAATGATCAAGTCATCATGAGGAATTCGCATCAAGCTTTACTTGAATGTGGGCGCTTTCTGATATCTGGTGCCAGGCACAAAACAATCAAGCCTTTGGTAAAGACTCAAGAATAGAATTCCACTGGATTGTGGTCGGACAACCAGGGTCCTCTCAATATGAGTTGCGAAGGGCATCCGTTTGTATGCTTTGTGGCAACCTCTTGCATTCTCCAAAGCCCTTCTTGCATCACTTGTCTGGCAGCAGAGAATCTGGTACATCCCAAAAACATGTGACCAAATGGGGGGCTTCTGCACAAAACTGCAGAGCTAGCAACAGCTCAACCCCATGCAACCAGTTCTTGCCAACAACCGTTTGTCAACGTGTAAAGAACAATATGCATGCGTGCAAACGGGAATAGAACAAACGGGTCTAAACGAGGGACCTTTCCATAGCCTTAGACCTTGCTTTTGGTCCTAACCTTACCCCGTACGTCACAAGGATTGAATGATTAAAACCTGAACCGCGGATCTTGCCCTTTGACCTATTCACATGTGGAAACTCGCTTGAGATGATGGTAAATCAGCTTCTTTGCGCGCCCACCAAGAATAAACATATTGATTCTGGTCCTTAGCTAGTAAGACTCAAACAAAAACATAGACTCAGTCAAGAGAGATCTCCAGTCAAGCAGTGCCCAAAACCAATTGACAGGTGGTTCTACCAAAATGGCTGTAATATAAGCATTCCTACAACCACCATGTGGCCAGGTAGTAGAGGGGGCTTTTGGGCGCTGCTAGGTGAACTCCATGACCGCAGCGCCACTCTGCCTCTGCCGGGCATCCCACTCTTCTGCGCGGTTGACCTGCGACAAACTCGGATGAAGTTGACTTGATTGCTTGGTTGACGTTGGAGGGGGAGCACAAAATATGTTTTAGCAGTTAAGTGGGGATTTTCCACTTAACCACAATAAGCAAAAATGGAAGCCAGGCATTTGTTTCATGCAACGACAGCAGCCGCTACATGAATCAACCGTTCTGCCCAGAAGTGTTTCGCAGCGCGTGAAAGCCCCATGTAAGGCCGATTGGCGGACTCTATGGGGCACCCTCACCCTGACCAAATGCTTCATCTAGGTGCTCCAGGCTCCTAGCTGGGGGACCTAGTCATGTTAGTGCTCCATTCAGCAACTCTAAAGCTTGGAGCCTGCACTTTCAGATGTTCCGGCATCTCTTTGTCCAGTTCCTCCGGAAGCGGCAGGATGCCTCGCTCACACGCCGAGTGTCTTTGTTTGGTATAAGTCGAGGGTCTGCGAAGGGCAGAATACGTCATCCAAGACCTTTATCATGGGCCAACAAAATACTCCCGCCAATCATGGAAGCTGACAGGGGCGTTGGAAGACTACTTTCCTCTCGAAGATTTGGGGACCTCCATTGTTAGGAATGGGCACATCCTCGACCTACCGCAGTGACATTCCAACGTGAACGCGTGCTTGCCCCTGTCTGGTTGTGCAGGTCTGGAGGGACAGAATGGAAAGTAGGGCAACCGCAAACAGCAGAGTTCGTGAGGCATACTCGAGCTTCAAAGCAAATTTCTATGGAAGCATCGTTCCGATGCAAACGAAGATACTTTAACTGCATCCTTGGTGCCAGCTACACAGCACTTCGTGGGGAGCTATGTGTTTCGCAAGTTTCCAAGAACCTGACATGCCGTTCTCCGGAAAGAAAAAACACGTGTACAAGCTCCGTACTCTTCACGGGGACGCTTCAAGCAAGCGAAGCCTTGCGGCGCTATGAAAACCATGACCCTTAACGCTCGGTGACCTTTCGGCTTCCTTACACACTGGCAGCGAGCTTCACAAATTATTGGATCTGGTCTTTCAACTGAGGCGACATCCGGCTCCTTGCGTGTCCCTTAGAAGAATCGCCCAGATGTACACCTCACTTAACATTGGCCACAGAGCCAAAATGAGTATACTGATCCCTGGTCAAGTTCGAAGTTCACAGATTCAGTGCGTAACATGCTGATTTGTTGGTGCAAGACAGGCAGGTCAAGCTTCGTGGCCCAGCTTGGCAACAGAAAAGCTAATGCTCAAAGTTGCGAAAATAACATCCAGCATCAATAGAAGACACTAAAGTCATGCGGCCAAACCACTAAGCTAAAACCATAGGTCCCCAAGAGAAAGAGAAAGGACACTGGAGGAACCTGGGGAAATGTGACCATGGATCTGGCGGCTCCAAAAAGAAACAACAACTGTCCAACAGTTGGTTTCCATTCAGCTTCCTTTAAGCATACAAAAAGTTTCCTTGGTGGACATCATGTGACACGATTCGCACAATCCTTTTGACCGAAAGGGAGCTATCTTCTTTCAGCCTGGTGAGTGTCCATTACGCTTGAGGGGATTCAAACCCATGAACCGTCGCCAACTCCGCGTCGCATTCGCGTCGCGCAAAACAAATAGGCGCCAAGGGGCACCGCTTCAGCCCCTCCATCATGGCCATCAGAAACTGCTCGAACTCGGCTTGGCACGATGCCCAAGTACTATATATATATATATATATATGTATTCGGCCTTTAGACTTTAAAGTCAGCCTCAACCCCGTTCTAATTCAAGGGCCCGTATTGTATGAGTGGGTCTCTCTGCAAACAGAGCGGTGGAGAGAGTTCGACCCGAAAAGGCCCGGGAAACAAGCGATGAGTTGAGGGAAAAGACAATAGGCAAAGGAAGACTTGATCTTCCTTTGATGTTGTTATCTGCAATTTGTTCTATATTTCCAAAAGCAAAATTAAGGGACCCCCAAGTACAGCACCCTTATCATGAGCTCGTTGAGCTCCTAGGTGAGCTCGCTATAAAATAGGCAGACTTATGCGCCAGTCACACTTGGTCTCAAAATCAACCCAACATAGTGACCAGTGTGTGTGTGTGTGTTTTCTTTTGCGCGATCCTCTGAGAGAGCGGGACAAATCAGGGACTTGAGCAAACGGAACTTCAGACTTAACTCACTCTGCAAAAAACAGTTTGTCTGTTTCCTCGCAAATGAAAGACATCCCAAAGGCCTCGGGTGCAAAAGGCCTGTGCTCAAGTCACCCTTTCTGCGACACTAGGGTCAATCGCTTCATCAAGTAAGCTCGTCTTACCCCAGGTGAGCTCGCCATAGTTGGCCGCAACCCAGCAGCTAGATTAATGCAACAGCTATTCAACAGCAACTGAGCAAATTGAAATCAAACCACACGTGTTTCTGCTCATAGAGACCAAAACCAACACAAAATCCGTCCCCGGCAAATCCCAAGCAAGACGGTGGCAGGAAAACCTTGCTAAGCACAAGCACGGGGTTATCCGGTCAAAATGGCTTTATCATAGAAACTGCTCGTTTACGAAACTACCAAGCAACTAGTTTCTGATGGTGTGTACAAAATCACAAATCCCCACAGTATGGCAGGAACCTTCACTGGGCAAATCTTGAGGACGATATCCCTTCGTGTTTTTCACGTGGAGGAAACCCCAAACATGATGGTGTTCCTGGTGGTTTCCAAAGAAAAGCAACTACCCTCAAAGAAGGCACACCCGGGTTCACTAGGCGGCAAAATAAACATCACCCCACCAAAAGGAAGACCACTTGAAAGCAGGCCCAGTGCTGTTTCACACCGCCAATAGGGGAAACATGCCCAAAGTAGTGGATTTTATGAAAATCAAACGCACAAAAACAAACAACCTCCAAAGGCACAAACCACCCACAAAACGTATTTGGAGTAGTTGATTCTATCAAAATCCAAAGGAACCCCCCTCCAAAAACAGGTTGGATAAATAGGGCACTGGGCGTCTAGGTACAAGACCCCCTGAATGAAAAATCTCGGATTTTCCAGATCTCTGCGAGAGGCCCTGAGCTCAATGGGCACCACCAGGTTGGGGTTGTGATACATGGCCTGAGCTGAAGTGAGCTCAAAACTCGCTTCTCGAAACTTCGCCCGCATTTTTTAAAACAAAATAATAAAACATGTTGTTTTTTTGTTTTTCCCCAGATAGCTGAAAGCTATAGGGGTTCTAACTTCTAATAGAGAGGGGAAAGTGATTTGCGAGATTGAGGGCCGGGTGCTAGGGGGCATGCAGTTTGAGGTGCTGGTGGATGCTGCTTTGCGAGCTTGACGGCCGGGTGCTAGGGGGCATGCAGTTTGAGGTGCTGGTGGATGCTGCTTTGCGAGATTGAGGGCCGGGTGCTAGGGGGCATGCAGTTTGAGGTGCTGGTGGATGCTGCTTTGCGAGATTGAGGGCCGGGTGCTAGGGGGCATGCAGTTTGAGGTGCTGGGCTGGTGGATGCTTTGCGAGATTGAGGGCCGGGTGCTAGGGGGCATGCAGTTTGAGGTGCTGGTGGATGCTGCTTTGCGAGCTTGACGGCCGGGTGCTGGGGGGCATGCAGTTTGAGGTGCTGGTGGATGCTGCTTTGCGAGCTTGACTGCTGGGTGCTAGGGGGCATGCAGTTTGGGGTGCTGGTGGGTGCTGCTTTGCGAGCTTGCCGGGTGCTAGGGGGCATGCGGTTTGGGGTGCTGGTGGGTGCTGCTTTGCGAGCTTGACGGCCGGGTGCTAGGGGGCATGCAGTTTGGGGCGCTGGTGGGTGCTGCTTGACGAGCTTGACGGCCGGGTGCTAGGGGGCATGCAGTGTGGGGTGCTGGTGGATGCTGCTTTGCGAGCTTGACGGCCGGGTGCTTGGGGGCATGCAGTTTGGGGTGCTGGTGGGTGCTGGTTTGCGAGCTTGACGGCCGGGTGCTAGGGGGCATGCAGTTTGGGGTGCTGGTAGGTGCTGCTTTGCGAGCTTGACGGCCGGGTGCTAGGGGGCATGCAGTTTGAGGTGCTGGTGGATGCTTTGCGAGATTGACGGCCGGGTGGGGGGCTGCTGGTTTGCGAGCTGGCCGGCGAGCTTGACGGCCGGGTGCTCGGGGGCATGCAGTTTCGGGTGCTGGTGGATGCTGTTTTGCGAGCTTGACGGCTGGGTGCTGGGGGCATGCAGTTTGGGGTGCTGGTGGATGCTGTTTTGTTTTTCGAGCTGGCCGGGTGCTAGGGACATGCAGTTTGGGGTGCTGGTGGATGCTGTTTTCCGAGCTTGACGGCCGGGTGCTGGGGGGATGCAGTTTGGGCTGCTGTGGATGCTGTTTTGCGAGCTGGCCGGGTGCTAGGGGGCATGCAGTTTGGGGTGCTGGTGGATGCTGTTTTGCGAGCTTGACGGCCGGGTGCTAGGGGGCATTGCAGTTTGGGGTGCTGGTGGATGCTGCTTTGCCAGCTTGACGGCCGGGTGCTAAGGGGCATGCAGTTTGAGGCGCGGGTGGATGCTGCTTTGGTTGTACTGGGTGCTAGGGGGCATGTTTGGGGTGCTGGTGGATGCTGTTCGCGTGTAACGGTTCGTGCCTGGTGTATCGTCATGATGTTCCCACGTTATGGTGTGTGGGCGTAGTGGCGCCGTGATGCTGTCAACATCAGGATGATGCAGAATTTCATTAAGCTGTCGCAAGATGGTTCGTGGCTGTGGTATCATCATGATGCTGCCTTTACCATCAGCATGATGCTGTTCGCATCACCATGCATCTGATGCTGTCCGCATCATCATGATGCTGTCCGCATCATCATGATGCTGTCGAACTCATCAGGACCTCGTTTTTGCTTTTTTTCCTGCCGGATTGCTCTCAAAATCATCATTATGCTGCTGATCTCATTAGGACGTTGTCTGCGCGTTTGTTTCGTGGCTGTGGTGTCATCATGGTCTACATCATCATGATAATGCTGCGTCATGGTTCGTATCCGTGGTGTGCTATCTGGGGTTTATGCTGGCGTAATTGTTGTTGTCTTTAATGGAAAAAAGAAGAAGATAAAAAAACGGGGACCTGGACCCTCAACGTTCCCTGAACAATTGGGTGTTGCCCCCAAACAATATGAGCGAATTGCCATCTAATGGGCAGTTTGAGGGTTCAGGTTCAACAAGCCCCGTTTGTTTTTCCCCAACAGCTGAAAGCTTTGGGATCTCAGCCCAGATAGGCTCCGGGGTGGTCCGGGGCGGCCCTGAGGCAAGGTTCCATGAGGGTCCCACCAGGGTTCCACAACAGTTCCACAATCAGTTCCGCAAGGACTATGGGTAAGGTTCCACACCGCAATAGCTAAAGATTGCACCGTCGGGCCCTGGTCGGGCACCGTCGGCTGTATGTTTGCACAGGCAAAGCGGCATCCTAAGCAAAACCCGCGGTGCGCTATGATTGGCTTGGATCGGTGGTTTGCTTCCCGCGCAGCGGTCAGGCCCGAGCACAAAAAAGAGTACCGCGTGCTGTTGGGGATATCACCTGAGCTTGTTGTTCCTGCTTCATATGTCTAGAAGGAGACCCAGAAATGTGGGTTGCAAATTTCCAGTTTCTCAACCATGTGGCTGAATTGGTCAAGCGAAACATGTGATCGATCACCCCGGACAAGTCCAAATAAATTATCTCGAAAGTTGCTCAAAACAACCCATTGGACGTCCAACATGTATACTTCCTGAAGTCCAATACATCGGTAATCGCTCGCGAAAGGATTCCCCTCGCAGGATGTGAGTCAGGAGAGTGCCTGGGCCACATCCCTCCCAAAGTCTCTCATCCATATCTGGGAAGCTGACAAGATTCCGGAAGCACGCAAAGAATCGTCATCAAGCTCGTACCCGTGAGCTTGTTCGAATTCGATAGGAAACATGGGCTACATGCCTTCATAATAGCAAACGCCACATCAACTCTTGACATTACAAGCCGCAAGTAAAGACCCTTCATAGGTGAGGAGGCTGACTTCCCAAATCCTCCAGTAGGCATGGAGAAAAAGGCGCGCTTGTTGCACATGTTGTTGCTCAAAGCAGGGCAAAGGGATCACACTGGCCATGGCAAAAAGGGCATCATTTTTGTTGCTGAGAAACTCTTGCCCAAAAACAATATAGAAAGAGGGCGTGGCTTGAAGCCGAGGTATCTTTGTTTTCGTGGACCTCTTTCCGCTAAAAAAAGGCCGGGCGCGCCAGCGGCCGCCGAACACCAACATCAGCGCAGGTCTGCGAACACCGGGGCTGGGACCAGACCTAGGAGAATCTCCTGAAAGTCTTCGAAGTACAAGCCCTCTGACCTGAGATTCGAGAGCTACCTGAGGTCCTCCAGTAGAGAGGTTAGGACAAGGGTGCCCTTTTTTTCTGTAGTCTATTTTAGTACAAAAACCCTCCCTTCAAAAAGGGTAAAAGGGCACTACTGGGGGACCGACCCTGAGAGAGGGTCAGCTGAAGAGGAAGGGAGGTCCAAACCAGACATCGGCCCCTCTGACTCGTTAACATCCCACTGGTCCAAGGGCCAAAGGGTCTTCTATGGTAGTACTTGTTGGGCTCCTTAGCTGAGCCCGTATGAGAATTAACCGCCCCAAGAGCCTCCATGAGAATTAACCGCCGACATGAAATCCGGCCTATCCTGTTTCCAATGAAAAGGAAGGCGCTGAAAGACCAAGCTCGTCTTCAATGATCTCCTGTCCACTTCCATCCGTCTTTGAAAGAGGGCAACCACATCTTTGCAATTCAATCTTTGCAATTCAAGCCAACCCAGCAAGCGAGACCTTCATGGGCTCGTTTTCCCCCCAGCGAAACTCATAAGCCGTGCGGTTGCCATGTCACCTGCCAAGCTCCGCGTAGTAGGGCTGACGGCCCTGGCGGCCATGGCGATTGGCGCAACGAACCACCAGTCACGCTGTGCCTAAGATGCCCAGTGGATTTCCATGGGAAAGCAAGGGCATCCTTTTTTGGTTGGTTCCGCCACACTGCTCAAGACCCCACCCCCCCCAATCGGAGGGAGTGGAGCCCACATCCCAGCCGAAGCCAAAAATCAGGCCTTTTTTGGTTGGTTGAGTTTAAAGGCGAACCCTTCCCAAGAAAAAGAAAAAAAAGGGTGTCTCTGGGCAACTGGGAGAGAAGAACCAGCTGTGGAGGTTAGCCAAATACCCAGCACCAGGGGGAGACGGCCATCCTATAGAAGCTCCAGCAGATGTCTGGTGGTACAAGTACCTATGCACGTCAGCTACCAAAAAACATGCACTGACAAAACAAAATCGCCCGCGGGGATCCGTATCTTTTTGCTTCGGTACCCTTGGGATTTGTCTTATGAAGACAAGGGAAACCGGCTTCAAACATGACCCAAAACAACGGTCGTCTGCCGGACTCGGACCTGGTTGACAAAATGTGTGCTCTGCGGGCTCCTATTTCTATTAATTATTAGGAAAAGCGAGCTTGCCAGGGCTGCTGCCGGTCCATTGCAGCGCAAGCTCAGCTGGTCCCAACACGGCTGGGTCTGTGATCCCCTGCAAAATGCGTTGTGCTTAGCTGGTGAGAGTACAACCATGTACGTTTTGAGATTTAAGGCTTTGAGTCCCCATAAACAGTCAAACTTTTGGCTGGATAGTGGGAAACCACCATTCGCATCTGTGTCAAAAGGCTGCGTATGTTCGAGCAAAAACTAGTTGGAACAACCTATACAAATCAATGCCGACAGGAAATGAGGGAATGAACCTGGGGATTCCCTTACAGGAATCATAAGGGATGGCTTTTCTAGGGGTCATTCCAATTCTCAGTCCATGCTGAGCAAGGTAACTGTTTGTTTGTTTTTGTTTCTTTTACTAGGGCAGTTTTTGTTTTCCTAGACCTGGTTTTCCGCAGGGCTGGCAACATCCCCAGCATCACCAGCATCACTTGGCCCTGGGGTTGCCTGATTTAATGGCAGTTGGGAGGTGCTGGGGTCTGGTTTAAGTTAGGGGGGGTTGGGCTGGCGTAGATCTTCAATGAGGGCGGGTCTTGCGGTGGTTTGGGATAGATTTAGGCGAAGCGAAGGGCTGACATCCAGGCTGCTGTTGGGCGGGTTTAGGGTTGACGTTAGGCGAGTTTAGGGTTGCCTTTGAGTGGGTTTGGGTTGGTTTGAAGCTGATTTGTTAGGTGTGCTGCTGGTTTAGCAGCGGCTTTGGGGTTGCTTTCGGGTGTGGTTAAGGGCGGGTTTTGGTGGTTTGGGGCAACGCCCCAATACCGATCCGAAACGAGACCAAACTCACTTAACCACACCCCAAAGCAACCCTAACCCTTCGCTTCGCCTAAATCAACCCCAAACCACCCTCATGAAGATCTACCACAGCCCATCTAACTTAAACCAGACCCCAGCACCTCCCAACTGCCGTTAAATCAGAGCCAATAGGCAACCCCAGGGTCAAGTGACGCTGGTGATGCTGGGGATGCGGCCAACCAACCAACCAACCAACCAACCAACCAACCAACCAACCAACCAACCAACCAACCAAACCAGGGGAAAGGCCAAGTTTAAACAAAAAGAAAACAGCCCTAGGAACAAAAAACACCGGATCCCTGCTGAGCAACCCCCAACAACAACGCGAACGAGTCACCACACCACAATGAGCTCAAAGGGTGTTTCTTGGACCAACCATTCTTTAACCTTTAAAAGCTAAAGAGTCACCACAAAGAACAGTTAACCTCTACAAACCCAGTTTAACCTTCGCAAACAAATGAAAAGACAGACAAAAAAAGCCAGCCACCTGAGGAATATCCTTTTGAAAACAACCAAGCACAAGTAAAAAGCGAGTCACCACAACCTTCGCCGTCGGCCTGCCTCCACTTTCGGTGGCAAGGAGGGCGACCGAGGCCTCCTGCGACGCACCTGGCAACGCGCTGAAAGCAGCATGCTGGTTGTGGCAGTGCTCCCAGCCGCTTTCGTGGAGGAGGGAAGGCAGCCCAAACGCAGCCCATGAAGCTTGCGCTTTTTGTGGTGTGGATTTCACACAAGTTCTTGCCCCTGGTCCTTTTGTAGTAATTGTTGTTGGTACTCTTTGAATATCCTACAGGGGTGGACCAGTTATTTCCAGAGCCCAGAGTGGGTAAGGGGAAACCATTATGTCAAACCTGGCCAGAAACTCTGGTTGCCGACTCTACCGGCAATTAAAAGCCCTAGGTGATTCTACACGGTACATGGGAGGTTAGAATAAGGGTACCCTTTTTTCTGTAGTCTATTTTAGTAGGGGAACCCTCCTCAAAAAATCGGTGAAAGGGCACTACTGGGGGACCTAGGTTTGCAAGCAACCCAGATTGGACAGCAATTCCCTCTGAGCCAGGGGCATGATGAGGTGGGCAGTCTGCAAGAGCTTGATTGGTCATCTTCAATCAGTGGTCTTTCTTTTCAGTGCCGCTAAATGGTCTCACCTGGAGTTTGTCTTCTGCCAGCAGGATTCTGCACAAATTGAAAGTGCCAAGTGCCATCTGGCCAATCAACAGCTCGGCAGGGGTCTGTGCGTATCCCTTTCAACACAAGGGCTCGCCCTTGGTGTTGGGAAACAAACGCATCTTTGGCAGAATCTACTGTCAACTTGCTTGAACTTTGCCATCTTGCTAGACCAACGCGTTCCGCACGGGTGGTCTGCATAATCAGCCTTGGGCTTTGCCAGTTCAGTGGAACTCTCTGCTCCAGAGGAGTCAACTATGCCCGATGTAGCAAGCGATTCAATTGCAGACATGCGCTGGCTTCCCTTTCACACATGTTAAGACCAGCACCAACAAGCGTGATGGTACAATGCAATTCCATTGAACGTCGGGAACCGCGATTGGCATCATTTCTGGGTTTCCATCATGGCCAACCGCTTTTTATATCACGGTCATCAAAACCAATTCCAGGTGGGTGAAAGTAGATAAAACACTTTTCATGTTTGTGCATGTACTTGCCTGAATAAAAGGAATGGTGCCATCTACGAGTACCTTACCCGGCTGCAAGCTAATAATCTGGCTTTGTTGTTTTTTATGTTGATCTGCAACACCACAATGGCAATTTAATTGCAGGCAATATTGATTGTTGCTGACATATAAATACATATTCCAACTTCTGTGTGTACATATACACAGTATGCGCACTTGTGTCACCACCTGTATACTGTATACTAATATCTGGGCCCAACTCTGGGGCACACCAAGAACATGTTGCTCATATTCTGCATCATATTTAGTCCACCCTAAAAAAATGTCTCTCAGACCCCATGTCATACATGAACATATACACATATACACATTATACAAACAATAAATGAGTGTTTCTCAGAGTTAGTCCCCAAAAACACAGACATGTATGCTTGGTTTCCATTGGGTTCTTTTTTAAACGGTTCAAAGAGAGGTCCCTTTCCTTGCCGGTTCTCCGCAGCGAATGAGAAATGGAAGGACCCCGAGAAAAACTATATATATATATTTATGGGCTTCTTTCTTCGCGAATCCCTAAGACCGGTTCATGCCCAAAACCCGGACTTGGTCATTCCCTACCAATCGGCAAGTTTCAGACGACATTTTCTCCGATTCGCACCACCCAAGAAACCCAGGAATTCTGATGATTTCCCTGTAAATACCCACAAACAATGGTTTCAACCATTGGGATTTCGTCCATCCACAGCATGATTAGAGTTTGGCCCGATTATATAAAATGTATCCTAAGTCTACCCCAGTTGAAGCCTCTGGTTTCTAGGTCAACTTCCCATTGGCATTGTTGGACACCTGCCACTTTTGAGTTCATAGACCCTCCCGTCCACTAACATGGAACCCAAAGGTCGCTTCGGGTATGTCCCCCACTGGCTTCCTTCGATGGAGGCTATGCGGGGGCTATCCCTTATTTCAGCCCTTAAGGCCTTATTAGGGGCTTGGGTTCTCCTGGGCTCCAGGGATAGCCCCCCTCCCATAGCCTCCCCGAAGATTCCGTGCCAAAGCGACCGACATCCTCCCCTTCCAGGCCTCGGCGTGGCCTCTGAAGCAGAAGCTCCGCGGCCCGCCGCGGAAGTGCCGCCGCGGCAGTAGGCTGCGACACATCTGCCTGGACGGTTCTCCGTTTTGCGAAAAGGTTCCCCTTTTGGTGAGAAAAAAGGAGGGGAAGTCAAAAAAGGAGGGGACATCAACATGGAGTTTCGAAAGCTTCGAAAGGGTTCCCCTTCTGGTGGGCAAAAAAACAATTCCACTTGCAGTGGCCGTTTTTGGGCATCATCCCCCCCCCCCCCAATAAATCAGCTGCGCCCACAGAGGCCCCGTCCGTGCGAACTTGAGTGAGTGAGTGGGCAAAAAAAAGGAGGGGAAATCGACATGGAGTTCGGAAAGGCTTCCCCTTTTGGTGGGGACAAAGGAGGGGACATCAGAAGGAAATCAGCTGGTTTCAGGGAAACTTGGTTGGTACGAGGGGAAACCAAAAGGAAATCAACTGGTTTTTAGGGACACTCTATTTTTAGCACCTTTTGGACACGTAGATGGCTTGCCTCGCAACAGCGGGCAATAAACCAATCTAAACCAGAGGAACCCATCTATTCCCCTATCCAAACTAACTTAACCAAACAAGAGGAACTTGTGAGCATGACACCAGCAATTGGACGGTTCACCGTGGTGGTTTGATACAACGTGGCCCCAAACATGTCGTCGTTGCACAGACCCACAGCCCTACGTGGGCAAATTGGGGCTTGTGGAAATGCCCTGAGCAAGCAAGCCAAACAAAGAAAACAATGAAGGCAAAGCGGCACAAACCCACAAACCCACGACCATACACAAACAAACATACAACCAGAAACCCAGCCAAATCTTACAACTCTAGGGGAAGCTTCCCCATTCGTTCCTTTTCAGGGACCCGTCAAACACCCAGCAGAAACAGCTGGCGCTGAAAAGAACGATGGTTGAAAATCATGGGGAATCAACCACTAGAATCTAGAACAACAACCAGCAAATCAATTGGACACACCATCTCGAAGAAACCCAAACAAGCAAGCAAGCAAGCAAGCAAGCAAGCAAGCAAGCAAGCAAGCAAGCAAGCAAGCAAGCAAGCAAGCAAGCAAGCAAGCAAGCAAGCGAGCGAGCGAGCAAGCAAGCAAGCAAGCAAACCATCCCAACAAACTCACAACGCAAACACGCAAACGCACACACAGAAACAAACAAACGAACAAACAACAACGAGTACGCAACTAAGCAAGCACGCAAGCACACAAGCAGGTCAAGCAACAGGCCACCAAAGAATCCAAGCGCAAGCACGCCTGGGCAAACTAGATAATTCCAAACCCTAAAATCATCAAATCTCCCATCAAAACTAGGTCCTCCAGTAGAGAGGTCAGAATAAGGGTACCCTTTTTTCTGTAGTCTATTTTACTAGGGGAACCCTCCCAACCAAAAAAGGGTTAAAAAGGGCACTACTGGAGGACCTAAGATCGTTCCCATGGGCAAGCGCTCATTCCGTCCCTTCGGTAAGCAATCCGCTGGTTCCGCGCCTTGCGCCGGCTTCTGACAAGCAGCCGCCTTGCGAAGGGCCACAAAACGCTCCGATTCGGATTTCCCTCAAGGAACCCATAAAAAAAGCCTGAAACACCGTTCCTCCTCCAAACCGGCGCCATTTGCATTTACCATTCTCAAAGTCAGCCCCTAAGTAGAGGGAAATAACCCCCCCATTTTCTGACTTTCATAATCTCAGAAGCAGCCAAGATAGTGACCCCAGCTAAAGTGGCAACTTAAGAGCTTCTTTGCGGTGGGAGGGAGGGTAGCAGCTGAAGACTTGCGTACTTATCTCTGCTGGGGCAGGGTTCCCGAATTCTGGGCGCTGCCCGCCTAGCACACCTGCGTCAGTCAGCAAGAGCACCAATGAGTCCTGCGCGAGGCGTCGCACCAACCTTTCTGTCAAACTTAGGGAACTTTTGTGGGACAGCTGAATTGGGCAACCTTATCTTGGGCACTTTCCCAAGAAGCCTTTCTCAGGAAACCAATTGATTCCTGATGTGAAATTACGCACCGATGCGACTCATAACTTTGGATGCCTAGGTGGGCAAACCTTGCTGACCAAATTTGGGAACTTTTGTGGGACATCTTATTTGGGCAACCATTTCCTGGGAACCTCCGCAAGCAGCCTTTCCTGTGAGATATGCTGTTTCCGGTTCGCTTTGGACACATGCTTCAACAAGTTGACTGTCGATAGAAGCAAGAGAACCCAGCAGCGCAGCGATGCGTTGGCGCCGCAAGCAACTTGCGCCATGCCCAACTCAGTTGGGTGAAGTTGAATGGGTCGAAAAGGACCCCTAGTGGACATCATTTGCCTGGGGTTTCATCTGCCACTCTGCCAACCTCTCTTCAGGTAGTCCCAACTCCTGAAACTCAGACTTGGGACGAGCATCTTCTTTACCTGTTAGACTTGAGACCAAGACACCAAGCACACGAAACCTCAAAGGTCCAAACGGCTTCCTTGCAGGACTGGGGTTACCCATTTTCGTGTTAAAAGGAAACCCAAGGGAAGCCACTTCTGGGGTTCCCCACCCATGTGCCATCAAGGAAGGCAAGCCCGGCTTTCCAACCCCCCTGGTCACCAGTTCGATCCGTCCTCGCCCATCCTAAGCTCCTGGCGCCGAAGGCTCATGGTCACCCCTAAGCCATCTACAAAATGAGTCATGACGTGAAGGGAACCAAGCTGAAGGCAAAAAATCTGAGATTGAGATCTTCAAAACCCGGATATCAGCTAGGCGGTTGGACACAAAACCACAAACACATGGTATGTGCCCATGCGGTTTTGGTTTCGGGGACATCGACCTTTATGTGCTTCTGCAGAATTCTGTAGGTGCAAAACCAAGGGAGCCGCCGCAAGATGGCGTCGGTGGGCCGCCTTCTTACAAGAGGCGTTGCCTCTTCGAGGGTTCGTAGTGTCAAACCCCTTCTGCGAAGCCCTTGGTAATCACTATTCGAAGGCCAAAACTTCTAAGAAGGGCCCACAGCCTTCTGAGAAGGCTATGCAATCTCTTCTCAAAGCCTCTTAGAAAAACTCTCAAGGGCTCCATTAGGGCGCTGGCTCCGATCCTTTTCTTGCCCAGCAACAACGAAGCGTAACAACTGGCAGTCGGATTTATCTGAACTATTACTCAAATGGCGACCTGAAACATGTTTTTGACCTTGCTGACCGACGCTAGAACACAGAACAGCGGATACCAAAACTAACAAACATTCACCATCGAACAATTGGGACAAGCTGCTTTGCAACGTAGAAGTGGTTTGGGGGAACTATGAGGCAGCAGTGTCTAATCTGTCAACAGCAAATCCGTGGCCACCTACAAACAAGCTCGAACAGAAACAAGTGTAATTACTCAGATGCGCAGTGGCGATGGGAAAAAAGGGCAGCCTTTTTTGTTGGTTGAGTTAAAAGGAATCGGAACCCTTCCCAAAAACAAGGAAAGAATGGCACCACTGGGGCAACAGAGATTAGGAGCTGCACTTTGAAGCTGTGGAGTCAGTCGCAACTGGCGCCACAACTCTCCTCTCCGACGTGACCCTGCTCGGCGTACCTGAGAGCAAGGAATCGACTGGCTCACGGCGATTTGTGTCTTTCTGAGGCATCCAGACGCCGTGGTTTCAACTGGCTGTGGCTCAATCAAGTGGTAAGTACCCATTGTCTGGCCCCTTAGAGACAAAGACCAAAACTTGCGTAAGCGCAGCTCTTGAATTTTGAGCCACACCCAAATGCCGTGGTTCCAGATGCACCGCATGCTTGCTGCCAATCAACGGATGATGAAGATCCAGCAATACAATCACGCGCATATGTGCCGGCTGACCAAAATCACAACTTACCAACCGCCAATAACGCACAAGAGCATGGAACGGATCTCAAGCTAGCCGAGCTTGCTAAGGAGGGAACACAACACAAATCTAGGTGTGTACGGCGAATGACTGCCTTTGCCAAGGCTTGTCGGTGTGGCCAATACCATGACCGCTTGATCGCGCCCGGAAATACGGCATGCATTTCATCGAATGTGCATAGTTGATCAGACTCATCTCCCCAACTCACTTCTTCCAAAGAAAACAAGACAGTGTACATGATGACAACGGAAAGAAACATCAGCAACATGTTTCATTGATTTCAACAAGCTGGATCACGGGGTCAATCTCCATGGGTCAGATCTTTGATCCTCCCAATTGTTTCATTGCGAACGATATATCATTTCGGCAAATGCAGCTGGATGAACGATAATCTAATTGCCTAATTAAAACAACAGATCCAGGAAAACAAAGGATTTAACGATGTGTCATGCGTGACTTTCAAGCTGCTGGCCACGATACATACCAAGCACCAAAGCAATGCTGTGCTCCTTGGCCAACTCTGCCCCTGCCTTGGAGCCTTGTCCGAAAGGAAATCCCAAACACAAATCGCATTCTCGGGGCTCCAGTGCCGTTTGCTTTGACTGCTCGCCAGGAACCAAGACTCGCTCGAGGGCCTGGTGTGACATTTGTTTTGTTGGATTCCCGCCTGGAACGGGAAACAGAACTTGCTTAGTGCCTGCCTTTTTGTTTCACGCCTGAAACGGCTACAAAGCTTCCTTGAGGGATTGGTGAACCTCTGTTCTGAACTCTCGCCGGCCAGGAAACAAGGCTGTGCTTTTTGGAACGGAGAATGCCCCACAAAAAAAGCACGAGGCACACGCGAAAGTCAAGCAAAACAACGAAAGCCAATCATGTCAACTCAAAAAGATGTGAATTCAAAAGGAAGGAGCCGGATGGAACCGGGTGATTTTGTGTTGAATCACAAGTTGCTCACTCACTTGCTTGGTGGAGAGTCCAGCTGAGGAAATCCAAAACAAGACAAAAATATATATGACTTGAAACAAAACATCACCGGCTTGAAAACACTATCCTGGATGATTGGAACTCAGTTGCTTTTCTGTTGTCTTCTTGACGAGGAGCGAAAGTACTTGAGCCAAGTTCAAGTTTGTGCACCTGCGTGGACTGGAGGACAATATCATGGGGGCCGGGGGGGAGAGGGAACCCAAATGAGCCCAAATAAGCCTAAATAGGGCCTTATTAGGGCTTAAGGGCTCAATACGGGCCAAAGCATTGATCCGTTCAAGGTTCTGAAACTAGCCAGAAATACAAAAACTAGCCAGAAATACAACTTAGCCGACAATGCTAACAGGGCGAGGTTTGGGGCTGAAAATCGGGGGTGTATTACTCTGCGGCCCAATGTTGTTGGATCCTTGGGTCAGACAAAGTTCTAACTATACCCTATGCCCAATTACTCAAATATATCTTGCCTTTGGGGATGTGTCAGCTGATTCAAGAAGCGATGTGGGTGCGTCTTTTTGTTGGGTGCATCCCTGCTGCATCCCTGCTGAAGTTAGGTGTATCCTTCCTTGTGTGTTCGTACTGTTAGCTGCCGAACTGGGGGCCAAAAGGCTATCCGTTTTTGGTTGAGTTTAAAGGTAAACCCTTCCGAAAAGGAAAACAAGTGGACAATGGGGGGAAATTCTGACCCAAAAGCGACACCCAGCTAAGGCATCCGAGGTGCAACTGAAAGATCTTCCGCGACAGAGGCTCCCAGATCTCCCGCAGATGTTGCACCTACAAGTTGGAATTCTTTGATGCCATGTTCAACCTGTTGCAAACATTGGGTGATTCATACTTGTACTCCAAACTGTTTGTGGACTTGTTCCGCTTTGGGTTTCCACATGGGAACATAGCTTGAGAAGTGTGGAAAACCTATAAAGGGCCCCCTTTCGTTGGGTAACCCAACCTGAAACTGGGCTGCCCAATGGAGACGAGCCTTGAGTTGAAGATCAGGGGAGAAATCGAGCAACTGGAACTCTGCCTGCAAAGAAACAGCTGACACTATGCTCATAAAACCTTATACACAATCTTATGAGACAAGTGATCAAACATAGATGTAACTCTATGCACCGCCCGCAAGTTCTTGCAGGGCTGGGCAGCACGAAAATGCAAATGGCTTTTATAACTGGGTGTGTGCTTTTCGAGGACACCTTCTTCAGGTTTATTTAACGGTAAAGTAAAACAAAAACCACAATTGTTGAATGCCCCCCCTATTTTGTTGACACATGCCTCTGCAAACTACCCTGTCCCTGCTTTGACAATGCGAAGTGC